CCAAGTCAAACAATAGACAAAACAGCGGGCAAACAGCAAACAGCTGGCGATTTGCCATGCAACACTTTCGGTGGTTGTTTTTGTTTTTGTGTGTGTGTGTGTTTTTTTTTTGTTATTGTTTTGCTCTTGTTTTGACTGCTCACGCTATGCGCCTGCTTCGCTTTGGCGTTTACTTTGTGTAACAAGTTTGCATATGTGATTAGCAAACAGCACACAGCATGTATTAGTAAATATAATTATAACACACGGACACTCAAAACACAAATACAATACTTAAAAAAGAAAGATGGTGTAAAAAAAAAAATGGAATGTTGTTGCGAGTGGCGAAGAATGATGCAAGAAGTGCGCACCTCGAAATTCTACAATGAAACGAAAGACTGAGACGACAAACTTGACGCAATGAAACAAAAGATTTGGGCGCAAAGCGTGGGCAGCATTAACTTTAACGATGCACGCAAAAACAACGTATTTGTATTTTGTCATCAGATCGGCTTACATCAGCAACTTCCGTGGGCGCTCATACGGCCATACGGCCATCATAGAGTAGTCGAGAATCCATAGAGCAAACACAGACAAACAATATACAACAATAAGCAACAACAACAACATTTCAGCTGACTCACCTTTCTTTCTTTACCATTCTTCTGCCACTCTTGACATTGACCTTCGATGGCGCATGATTATTTTCTAATTAGCAGCTGCCTGAGGGGAGCTCAACTCAACTCATTGTGTCCACCTCTTTGGAGCAGACTGTGCTTGTCCTCTGGTAATATAAAGATCGCAACGATCGCTATCTCGGCTTTATTGTTCTCTTTTGATTTTTTACTGTGGCATTTGATTGCTTTTGTGGGTTCTGTCACCCCGTTGAAGTCCATTAAAAATCATAAGTAAATTAAATGAAATTATCTATTTATTTTCTGACAACAACATAAAAAATATCAAGAATTTGTGAAAACTGGGCGTGTTATGATGTCAACCAAGTCAGTTTTGCTTGGCCAAGCAGTAAAATATACTATATACATATATGTTCATAGTACTCATAAAACGGTGAGCACAGGTTGTAATTTAGGAACAATACTCATAACGTTGATTAGCCTGGGTGTGTTTGATCTACGAATTTGGGGGAGGAAGGGGTATGTAGATTGTTGGTGTTGTCACATATGGTTTTTGGAATAGATTTTCGATCTGAATTTTGAACTTAACTTGTGTTCTAAATTTGAAATGCACTTTTATACATTTATTTATTTTTTCATATTTTAATTATTAAATGTGGACTATAAAGAGTCCAGAATTTGTAAAAAAGTTTTTAAAAGATAAAGCATTAAAATTAAAGCTAAAAATTGAATTAAATAAAATGTGAATAATTAAATTAAAAATGAATATGATAAGTAAGTATTTAAACAATTTAAAATGAACATTGAAGTTACAAATAAAATCAAATAAAATTAAATGTAATTAATTATATTATAAATGATATAAAGTATGTAATAAATCATGACGGCAAATCATGTCTTAATTGATATTGTTTGTTAATTTATATTGTCTTCAGTCAAGATATGACAAAAAATTATTGTGACTGGAAAACTGTTTTACGTGCTTCTAAATCAGCCAACATAAACAACAGAACAGACGACCTTCAATCGAGAATAAGAAGAAGCAGCTGCAATAACCAACTTTTGCAAGTGGTCGACACAGAAACTTGATTAAAGTTGGGAAAACTTAAAGTTCAACTTGTTTCATCGCTGATATTGCTGCTGTTGCTTCTTCTTTTTTTTGCTGCTGCTGTTGTTGATTTCTTGTTGTTGCTGTTGTTGTTGTTGTTGTTGTTGTTATTGCACTTCTGAATGACTTTTCGCTATAGTGTCTTGACATTTCGCACAAACAAACCGAACGAAAGAAAAACACAATAAATAAGCCCGCAACTAAAAACACAAATGAAGAAAACGCTGGCGCTGCCTTTGTTTTGCAACTGATTGTTGCAGCAACATTGTGGCCATTGAAAATGCATGAATGGGAATGCGAAATTCGAATCCGAATTCAGGACGCATTATCGCTGCCATAATTAGGCGTAAAGCAAGTCAGTCAGCGTTTGTTCCAGAGCCAACCAATTACTTGCATGCCCAGCAACAAATTTCAGATACAAAATCTGCAGCGCAGCAGCAAGTTTGAAATTCTTCTTGAGCCGCACTAACGGTAAATGTCAAAATACCAGCATTGGCAGCACAGTGGTTTCAAAACAGTCGATTTTGCCCGTTAAATGTCAATCAATAATTATATTGATTTAAAAAACTTTATATCATTTTTATAATACTTATAATGTGTAAACTTGATTTATTTCAACTTTTATAATATTCAGTTTTTACCACTGTACAATCAAAGGCGTCGCTGTCGCTGTCCATTTTAGACGTTCGACATGCGACAAACTAAAAATGGTTTGAGTTTGGCTCATTGTTTGGATCTCGTTTTTTTTGCTGTGGGCCAAATGTCAAATGCTTTACAGGCAGTTTGAGAGGCACTTGACTAAAGGCCGCCGCGGCAAAGTTGAAACAAACCCAAAAAAAAAAACAAACCAATAAGCAGGCATTGAAAGGCATTGTTTGGGTGGCTCAATGGAAGCTAAAGGCGTATGTAGATATTTGAGGCCTATGTCAGTTCTATTTTAAGGCAAGCATAAAAGATTTAGCATCTGGTTTATTGCATAAATCAAATATCTGTAATCCTTGGTCTAGTTGCCCATAAGCCAAAATGTAAATATTATTCATGTTGGAAGGTTTCTTACACACATTATTATATTTACTATATCGTGTAATTTTTTAATAAATGCACTGCTGCTCAAAAATTCTTTACTTTGTCAGGCTTTTGCTCAAAATCGCTCATCTAAAATTCAAAAAGCATCTTGGCTCTCATTACAATAAATTCCAATGGATCAATACACTTAAGATATGTTGTAAAAAAATTTGCATTCTGTCTGACCAGAAAAAGAAATAGGCTAATATAAAATGATGTTCACGTTCATAATGGGTTTCCAATAGTGTGTCAAGCGTGCGGAGAATATTAAAAAATGAAATGAATTTACGTACCCAGGAGTAAAATGATGTCTGGCAAAATTAAAATACGCTTAAATAATACATATTCTGTATGTAGAACGATATAGTTTACAAGTTTATATACTTTATTCATATGTGTAAAATAAAGTGTATTCACTCTCGTGCGATCTGCAATGCTCACTTATGTAATGGAGGAATAGTGCAGAGTCAACGGCAGATAAGAATGAACGATTTGATCTACCTTCAGCGGATTAGAGTTAGCAGGCTGGAAATGTACACAGCAACTCTTGCCCAAGCGCTAAAGGCTACCCACAAATGTTATGATAAATGCTAAATAAAATTATTAAATAATTGCCCGACGCGGTTTGAACCACAACTCATAGCGCGAGACTGAGCAACAACTCAACGTTCAGCGCCAGCACAGAAATCATTAGACGTTTGCCTAATAGCCGAGTGTTCATTCTGGTTCTATATGCGTTTATGCCAAGCAGTTGAAAAGCAGTTGACAAGCAGTGCAGTTTTTTTTCATTTTTTATATGCATATTCTGCCAACAGATTTCATCAATTAATCAATTTTAAGTTATCGCCTATTCAGTTTCAGCCACACTCAGCACAAAACGAGTTCCACAACGCCATCTCCTCCCCGATCCGCAATTAATATATACACATATGTTCATACATATGTCGAAAACAAGGTGTGAAACTCAAAGTAACGTCAGTTTTGGTGCAACATCGAACCCCTCCCTGCCCCAAGCAAACGTAGGCGTTGCCCCCACTCGACTCTGGGCGCCTCGCGTCTGTCTGTCGACGGACTGCATAAATTCGCCTGATAAAATTTTCAACACTCTGCCTTTTTGTTTGAAATGTTGCGCCCGTATGATATTTCAATTTTCAATTACTGGCAATCGTTTTTTTTCTTGCTTTTGCGTTTTTAAAAATCAATTTTTTTGTTCGCTTATGGTTTAATGTTTCTATTTTTATTTTTTTTTTGGGCTAGACATTGTGGGTCACAGAGGGCGAATAGAGTGACGCATGCAAGATTGCAGCTGGAAGCTATTTTCGGTTTTTTGTTGTCAGCTTTGGGTGCCCACGCTTTTTATGAATAAGTGTGTGTATTGTATGCATTTTAATGTGTAATTATGTTAAGCCAGGAAATTACACTGTTGGCATAGGCAACAATTTTTAAACTTGCAAATGTTGACAGCTGGCATCGCGAAATATTGTTAATAAAAGCCTGAATTTTGTTACACATTTATTGTGTGCACAAGAAATGGGTCAACTGACATTTATATATGAATAGGAAATATCACTAAACAGCAAGTCGACTTGCCTATACTCTACAAATTGCTCAACTTGTACTTATTCATACTAAGTATTTTTCAATTTTAGTCTGGTTTGCCCCAATCCATGCATCAATTAATTATGCAATTAAAAAACATTAATATTCAATTCTATTTGTTCTTAATTTGTTGTATTTTTCCGTGTCGACCGATTATTATTATATATATAGAGTCTTGCAAAATAATATTAAGTTTTTATGCCATTTGCTGATATTAATTTATACCTTTCGAACATGTCATCTTTTGCTTTAAGGCCAAAGCAGCGCAAACACATCGGCAAAGCAGTGCTGGCCATATTCATATTTTAGTTATTCAAGAAAAATGCGCAAATCTTAAATCTGGCAGGCCGTGACAAATGTTTGCCCCAAGCGGTGTGGCTTTATTTATTTATTTATTACAATTTATTGACAATTAAGCACAATGATTTCGAATTTGAGCTAGTTTCATGGCTAACTGAAGCCCAACGGCAGCGCCGAAAGGTGTCAACAAAACGATAAAAAAATAATACAAAAAAATGTGAACAAGTGTTGAAATTGCAGCTGATGAGTTTTGATTAATTATTGCCTGCTGCGTGGTACACTATTAACTGGCGACCTTTGCTAATGCATTTCAGATACCTCCGGCTATTACTTCCCATCACAAAACCGCTTCGTGCCATCTTCCGGCTCTTTTCCCCGTCAGCAGCAATCGCTTAATGGCTTTCGAGGGAGCAACAGCAACAGCGGCTTCTCCGCAGCCCCTGGCTCCTACCAGGAACAGCTACTGTTCATAGCCAACGAGAACAGCAACAGCAACAACAAACAGACGCAAAGTGCAGCCAACTCTCCATATGGAACGCAGTTTGGGGGCAGTCCACCATTTGCGGTAAGTTTTCAAACTCTCAATTAACTCTAGACTAGCACAACTCCAAAAAATTCAAATTCAATGTTTTTGGCCAGTGCATTACATTTAAATTTTGCCAGACAAGGCAATCTGTGCAGACCATGCTGACTATGCTGACTATGCTGCCGGCAATAGGCAACTTGTTGTCTGTGTCTTAGTTGAAATTGAAATTGAGATTGGAATATGAGGCACAAGTCCGAGTCCGCATGCGAAACCAAGTCAGACTCTCGTGGCACGCAAAGCTGTAGCAATCAACGCCAAAAAACGAAATCAAATCAAATCAAAATTCATAAATTACAACACATGCCACATGCCACATGCCACACGTATATGAAATTTGATTAAGCCCACTTGCAAAAAAAGGCAAAGGCGAGAATTGCGAATTGCGGCTAGAAATGGGAGCGTGAAAAGTGTGTTTTTTCCAACTGCTAATTAACGTATTTAAATAACATGAAAAACAAGTTTATATTATGCAAACCAAATCTGCATAGATAATGGTCTAAACACACTTCCTGCATTTCTTAGATATAAATATGTATATAGATATTGCACTTGGAAATTAATGATTTAAAAATACTTCTCAAATACGCCAATATATATATATATAAACATGCGAAAGAAACTGTTTCCTGTAAGCTGCTGAAAAAAGTCTATGTATATATGTATATATATGTATATAGGATTGGATTAGTACACATTTCCTCAATGGGTTTCTGGCACTGAAAACGTTTCCATCTCATGCTCACGATAAGTGTGTTACAGTCCCGATCCAGGAAGCAAATCTCATAATTTTCAATTACAAAGGAGAATTCACAAAAAGTCGACCCACACACAACGATTGCGGCGCCCCACGTTTCTTCACTTCGTGGTGCTCGTGGTGCATCATCCTCGGCAGCGACGCACGCCTCACGCAATGCTTGAAAACGCAAATCGAATTACACACCAAACAATGAAATAAATACATGTACAACAGCAACCACTGCTGGCCACTACTGGTCAGAGCTGGCAGCATTTTCAAATCCCATTTTTTCCACTTACTTTCACTTTGCCCGAGGCAAACAAAAGGCGAACCAAAAACAGATGAAGAAAGAAAACAAACGTCTTCTGCATATCAAACAGCAATTGTCGGTTGTTTCTAATTGAAAAAACTGAATAATCATATCGATTATTAACAGTTTGCAATCCATGAGCACGCACTTAGCTGCACTCCCAGTTTGGCCCTAATTGAAACAGCATGTCAGGGCCTGAAGTGCGGAAGGGAAATTGGAATGGGAATGGGAATGCGAATGGGAATGGAAATGTGTTGGGGGAGTTACGTCGTTTACCAGTTGCTGCCTTGCTGTTTGTCAGCAGCCCAGCAAGAGGTCTTGGCCTCCATTGTTTTAACCTGGTCGACTGCTGTGGACTGCAGCAGTTCTTCGCACTTTCAACAGGCCTTTCGGCCGAGTCTGCAGTGCGTTAGCCAGTTTGGCTGGCATTGTTAGTTGGGCACTGATTTACCTATTGGCATTAACTTCATAATGATTGCGAGTGGTGCCAGTGGAAAACTCCTTTAAGTCTTCAGGACAGTTGCTGTTGGCTTAAGATCGACAAGTTTATAAATATACTACTGTATTAGCTCCATCTTCTTTATAAACACGGTCATGTAATAAATCATGTGAGCTTAAAATCCTACTACTATGAGGTAAAAATGTTGCTGTCAAAAGTCTGGAAACACTCAATGTGCTCAATGCTATAAAAAAGTACTAAGCTGCAAAAAGAGACTTTGATTAATATTCTTAGGTCATCATTCGTTATGCATAGATAATTTATTGACTTTTTTCAGTGCAAGAAATTAATTTGGATTTTCGCACAAAGCAATTTATTTATTATATTTTAAAGTCGGTAGAGAAATACAAAAAAAAAGAACAATAAAGTAAATAAAATTAAACTATTTTAATAACAATACTTAAAACATATGCTTATCATCTTTAAAATAAATAAATATATTAAATTCAAAATATTTCTGTCGTTATTTAATTGTAAAATTGGTAAAAATCAAGACAAACCAACCAAAATAACAAAATAAAAATTTATTAAATTCAACAATTAATTGTAGATGCAAATATTAGTAATTCTTATTTAGTTTAGATGCACATATGAAAACTTGGCTGATTCGTACTGCTATTTCAAATTTGTTAGACTTCAGTGAAAGCGACTGAAAAATATAATATAAAATGCAACAATACACTCTTTATACGAATAGCTACTATAAAAATAAGTATATGGATGATGCACATTACAAATGACTAGATTGGAGATTTATAAAGATGATTGCACTGTGCCATTGTCATTTTTTTGGTGGTTGCTCTGCTTGAAGTGAAAGCCAATGCCAAAAAGAAAATAATGCGTATGTTATGCATTCTGTCGCTTCTTACTTAAATGCCGTCTCTTTCCATTCATTGCGATCTATTCGAAGTGAGTGTGAGTGTTATGGCTTCCATATTGACAAACGGCTTAAGAGCTGCTGTTTAATAAGTTGACCGACGCTTTCTTCTTCATCATTCAACATAGAGGCTCGGCCACTCCACTACTCGTACATGGGTTGAAAAGCCGCCTCATTATGGCCACCAAGTCGGGGGTTATTGGACTCCCACCAGATTTGTCAGAGCGCAGTGAAATTGCTGGGAATTCACTCAGTTTTAATGCACTTGAAGGCATTGGCTTGCTCGTAGTTGCTGCTGCTAGTTGTGATTAATGACTGTTAATCAGACTAAGACTTGTGGGTAACTGAGCCGAATGCATTTCTCTCTAATTGTTGGGAGAAAATCTTTGAAACAAATTAATTGAATTGTTTTATTATTTTTTAGTTTTTTTTTTTTTTGGTACAGTATTCTCTGATGCGTAAATAACGACGCCGAGAAGCGGAAACAACAAAAAGAAAAAACTGCAAGGAAAATTCGCCTTTTAGCAGCAAAACTTGCGTTTTGTATGCAATTTGTTTAACAGAGCAAAACTACAGCGCAGCAAACAAGAAGCACTTTCAAAAAAACAAAATCCATAAACCAAACAAGCAACAAAATATAGAGAAACAAACAAACAAAAATACCTAACAGCAATAACAATAATAATGCATAATAACAAGTACTTGCTGCCAATAGGCAACTGACAGCGATTTCTGTAATTAGCGGCCAGTCGAATTTCGATAACTATATAACGACCTTGATATACTTCAATCAAGCACTTTTTGATAGATTTCCATTGTAGTTGTTGTTGTTATTGTTTTTGTTGCTTTCGATTTCGATTTCGATTTGGTTTCAATTCAATTGTTGTGTAGTTTCTAGAGCTCAAAAATCAAAAATCAAAAATCCTAAAGCGCTTTGGCATTGCATGCAACACGTGGAGTGAAGGCCCCTCCAAATGAGTATTTACGTGCCTCCACTACTCGGCCAGGTGCTAGGTGCTCGGTACTCTGTGCTGCCATTGGTAACCCTTACCTTGCCACCAACTGCATTATTTGGACATGCATCTGATCTTAAGTATTGGGTTGTCAACTTATCTTGATATCGGTTGAGCTCGACTTTTTGATTATTCCGTCACTTCAAAAGACACAAATATGAAATTCTGTTAGTCTGATTATGTCAGCTTTTAAGTTTGTTTCTGCTTCACAAATAGTATTTGGAAATTTCTTAGATTTTTACTCGATTTTTTTAATTTAAAGTTGTTTCAACAACTCGAATTCCAGCAGAAATACCATACCCCTTGTGAAGTTGGGGTTTTTTGTCGTAAGAGTTGGAAACACGTTTTCCTTCAATACTTCAGCTTTTCCAATCTGTCCTGTGAGAAACTCAATCTGCATTGATATGCCTTGAGGATTCGTTCTCATTTTCACTTGCTTAAATTGCTTTTTATTATAGCGGCCCAAAAGTCATTTGACTTGTTTGAGACTTGGTGTCTCTAACCAGCCGTCTATCCCAATATTTTATATTAAATATTGCTTAACTATTTAATAGGATTGCAGCATTTTTATTAAATTTAATAATTTAAAATTAAAAATTTACTTTAATTTATTTTTTCATGTTTATATTTGTCTGTGTCGAGTAACATTAGTCAGTATTAAATAAAATAAATAGCTTTACACAAAACACAAAATAGAAAGTGCATTTTCCCATGTTGTAGAAAACTTATTTTGAACATTTTCAGAAATATATTTTTAATGTATTTTGAAGAAAATGTATTCAAAGTTGATTATTTTATCAGAAAAATCGAGCCTGCATTTTGTTTTTAAGCTCAACTCATAATTTATCATTAATTTAATGTCAATAAATTATAGATTTTTGCTGTTGGCCATTCAACAAAATGCATAACTAATTAACTAAGTTGGCTTTAATAACAGCAACAAGCTAATTTTGGTTATTTGCCTTTTCTCTTTGTTTGCTTCCCACAGAAACCGAATCGCCAGACGGACTATTACGATATCTCGCCACGCCCCTTTGGTGTGCCCGTCAGTGGCGGAGTAGGAGGAGGAGTAGGAGGTGGCGCAACATCCCAGTCAGCGTCCGCAACTTCATCGAATGGATTTACACGCTCCAAGGCGATACGCAACGGCAGCGGCAGTGGAAGCGGTGGCAGCAACAGCTTGGGGAACAGCCTGAACGGCTTCCAGCCACAGACGCAGCGCGTCAATGTGCCACACCAACAGACGCAGTTTCTGGCGCACTTCAATGAGGTACGGAAATAGTATGTGATGGCAATTGTGATATCGTTCATCAGCTGCCACCGGCAAGCGGGAGAGTTGCAGATACAGATACAAATAGTCAAACAGATACAAATACAGATAGTGGTGGGGCGCCCAAAAAGTAAAAGCAACAGCAAAGGAATAGAAATAACAACAAGCCAAGCTCTTTGGCATTGCATAACATTTAACAAAACAATTGGCCATGCTCTGATTTAGCCCCTCTCACTCTCCCAGTCTCCCCCTCTCTCTCTGTGTCTCACCTACGTGACTCTAAATTGTAACGGCCAATGTTTTACCAGCAGCCAATTCAACCCAATCCCAGAACCAGTTGCAAGCCACATATTTCTTTTCAGCCAAAAACAACCACAAACAACTGAAAAAAAAAAAAATATATATATTTATATATATATATATATATAAATGTATATCAAATGAAATCATTTTTACCTTTCACCAGATCACAATTCATAAATAAAATTGAGTTCGCAGACAAATTGGAGCAGTTTGTTTATCTATCTAAATTGATGGCGGCAATATTTTAACAACCTAAAAATTATTGCAGCATTATGTAATTTCTTTCAAATTTATTTAACATATATTTTTAGGATTTGTTTGTCTAGTTTGTCTAATATTTACTTTAACGTAAATATAAATAATATTGATTGAAATGTCCGACACGTTGCAGAGTGGTTTTCTCTTGGGGGCACTTATCTCACATTGTTTTGCTGCTCATCGCCTCTCAATCTCTCTCTTTCTTTCTCTCTCTCTGTTTCGCCTCCCACTCTAACGCATGGCATCCAAATCATTTGGTTTTCAAATTTTATTTGAAGTTAATTGCCGCAATTTGTTGCTTAATTTGAGCGAAAGTGTTCCCATAATAAATCACGGCTTAGCCATATAAATCTACTTACGACCCACATTGACATTAAGTTCAATTTAAGCATGTGGGCACTTACTACTATTACTATATATCTGTTAAAAATCAGTCATAAAGGTGATATTCACTATTTCATTTTAGAATTTTAAAAGTGATATATTTCATATATAATTTAAACAACACAAAATTAGTTAGTAAATGGTTGAGTAAGTTTTCTCAAGCATTTCAAAGATCAAGCAATAATAAATTCATTTCGATAATTTAAAAGAGTTGCTAAATTATATAACAAATTTCAATAGAAAATATAATTTATTAAGTCTAAAAAATAGCTAAAATATAAAAATGATAGCCTAGCTTTTCTTAATACTCAAAACAAATTTTTCAAAACCATTCTTTTTAATCGAGGACTGTTTTTAGTCCACATTAAATAAATAATAAATATATATAATATAATATATAAATAATCTATGAAGACAAAGTTAACTACCAGTAAACTTCAAATAGGCATGATTTACCTTGGCTAACAACTTACAAAGAGCAGTCACATCTTTGTAACAGCATCGCAAACTACTCTCTCAAGAAGCTGCAACCTTTGGCACCTTCTTTAGCTACACAAGACCCAGATTGCTGTTGCAAGTGGGGGCTTCACAGCAATCTGCAATGACCCAAATATCAGCATGCAACACTCAATCTTGCGGCTTTCAATAGCTGAGCACGCTGCTTCTGCGTCACGTTTGCAACCTGTGCACATCACCTGGCAGAGTCAGCGGCAATCCAACGGTATATATATATATATTTATATACATATATTATATATATATTCAAGCGTTCGAGTTGGAATCGCAGAGCAGTTGCCTTCACATAAAAATTAAATAAACACAAGACACAATAAAAAGAGCTGCCAAAATGGAACGGTTGTCTTCGAAATTTGCACAAAACGCTTTAGACAAATTTGAGAATCGCTTCAGTTAGTGAATGAATATGAGGCAGTCAAGCAGGTGTAGGGGCGGGGGGTGTGGCATAAGGGAGAGGAGCCACAGCTGAGAAGATTTCGCACGCAAAACAATTGACAGGCGAACCGCAGCGATTGCGATTTTGTAAATATATATATAGATATATATATATATATATGTGTGTGTGTGTGTGTATGTGTGGATTGTGTGTAGGGGGGTCTTACTATGTTGAAACTGTAACAGTTTCCCATGACGACGATAACATGTGACCACAAAATCCAATGCTGTGAATGGGGCGCAGCAGAGCCAACCGTCGGTTGGCGGTTGGCAATAGCCACAACCATAATAACTGTAGCTAAGTAGATATATGGTTAACCCCCTGATTACAGCCTATTAATACAGTTCAACTGCCCCAATTCGAGTTGGCTCAAGTCGATTTATCTGCAAATCGAACCCAATTGAGCCGCAATTTACATTTACAGATCAAACTCAAACTCGACTTATGAAAAGCTCTCTTTAATTTAAATTTGTTATTCGAAATTGATACAGAAAATGATTAACAAATTGAATTTACCATAATTCGATAATTTCATGATGATATCATTGACTTTATTTTAATCTTGCTTCGTATGAAAGTAGGCCTCGTCTTGTATAGCTTTCTGACGTTATGTGGATAACTAAGAGATTAAAAAGCAGTTCCACTTTACAAGACGAAGCCTTCGTTTTCCTTATAAGCAGTTCTCACTGGCAAGTTTGTATTCAGAGCCATTTTCAGCGTTGCCAGTTAGAGTCAATATGTATTCCCCTTGTAGTTACTTCTCTTTTTCTGTGAAAGACAACAGGGAATATACCTTTTAAGGTATAATAAATACTACTAATCAACGTGCCTCTGATCATTTTGTATATTTCATATTATTATATTTAAATGTTTAATTGTCCTCCCTCTCTCTCTCTCTCTCAATCTCTCTCTGTGTCTCTATTAATCTCTCCCACATCTACTTCTCTTTGATGCAGAACGACAAGCGATTGACTTCGAGCAACGCTGGACTGCGACCCTTCGGCAATGGGGGCGGCTTCTCACCGAGTGCGCATCGTACCCGCACTCAAGCACCGCCTGCGTTAGCCGCAGAGGCCGATGCCCCGCCCCAATCGGCGGCGACACCGTATCGTTTACGCAATCGCTTTCACCCTTCAACGTCGGCCGCTTCGTCCTCGACCCCAACATCGACCACAACTGGCAGCAGTGCAGAGGTGAGCAGCAAGCGTTATAATCGGTTTGGCAGTAATCGTGGTGCTGCGAAAACCACCAGCACCACAAGCAGCAACAGCGCAAGCTCAACCACACAGAATACCCCAGCGGAGCGTCCGAGCTTTGGACGCAAGCCCAATCCACGACGTCCTGTGTTCATTAGTCGGGAGATCAATGAGCCAGTGAGTGTTGTTAGCAAGCGTCCCTTCAACTATAACAGTGCCAGGCTGAAGCTACCACGTCCCACATCCATCACTACCAGCACCACAGAGGGTGTGGATCTGAAGGAAAGTGATGAGCAATACGAGCAGGAGTCGCAAGAACAAGAGCCAGACCACCAACAGCAACAGGAGCATGAGCAAGAGCAGGAGCAGACTCACAGTGGAGAACATGAGGAGTCATCGAGTTTGGAGAAATTGCCGTTGCAGGAGGAGACAATTACGCCGATTGCTGTCACCAAAACGGAGCTCAACAACAGTCAGGAGCACACTTCGATTCCAGATGCATCCGATGATGATCAGGTAGTGGAAACGACAAGCAATGAGGACTTGGACAAGTCCAACACTAGTAGCAGTACCAGCAGCACCGAGGAGAGCCAAACTGATTCCTCGGAGGTACATGAATTCAATGAGGAGACCACGCTACCAAATACCGGGCACGAATACGAATACGTTGAGGAGGAGGAGAAGGCGACCACAGCGATATCCAAAGACAAAGACTCGACGGAGGAGGAGCAAACGGAACTGGATGCCATCACCACCACTGAGCAGCCAGCTGTTGAACCTGTTAGCACCACAACTCCTAGCAACACAGAAGCCAAACCAGCGGTGCCGGAAACTCAAAAGGAGGACTCCGTCAAGCAAGAGGACGAGTCCGAGTACGATGACGAGGAAGGTGAAGGTGAAGAAGGTGAGAAAATCTATTCAAAATAGTGCAAGCAATTATTTATACTCTTATTTGACCATTTAGGTGGAGAGGAATATGAATACGAAGATGAGGAGGAAGGTGAGGCAGCTGAAGGCGGCGAGGAGGAAAGCAAAGCGGAAAATAATGCCACTGCCGAGACTGAGGTGGAGACCACGCACAGCAATGAAAAGGAACACGAAGATGGACGTGAGATAATCTCTGTGGTGACAACGAAAAGCGTTGTCAATGGCTCCACAGCATATCCGTCACCCGTTACACCCAGTAGCTTGGGCACAACCCTTACGGACAGCCAACCAGCTCCACTGTTGCTCAAAGAACGAGAAGAGTCGGATGTTGCCGATGACGTTGTCAACACAACGGCACTGCCATCCGAAGATGATAGCGCTAGCGTACCCAATGTGACCGAAAGCTATGTGGTAGTGGCATCAATACAAACCAGTCGGAGCATCAATGGCGCCAGGTTCTTGTCCTTCCCAGCTATCGAACAGGAGGAGACGAAGCAAACGCTGTCCGAGCTGGAACGCAAGGTGCACTCGAAGCAACAGCAAAAGCAGGCCGATCTCAACGAGAGCAGTGAGGAGCCGAACACAACAACGCCAACATCAACAATGGACTCTTCCTCGTCCTCGTCAAGCACCACAGAGAGATCATTGGCAGCGCAGGGTGTCTCCACGGAGAGCATCATCGATAAGCTGGACCGCGTGCAGTCGGAATTATCGAGTGGTGTGCTCTCGGGCAAGTATCCCATCATTAGTCAAATGGATGCTGCCTCAACACCCGCAACGACGATAACAACTGGTGGCAGATTTGCACCACACATACGCAAGTTCCAGCCGCGCACCACCGCCTCGCCCAGCACAACGAGAAGTGGCAGCAAGCTGAAGGTGCAGCACTTCGATGAAGCTGAAATGGATGAGTTGGCCGGCCTACTACCAGTGGGCTTCAAACCCAAATCGAGCTACAAGAATCGCAAGATCACCACAACTACAACAACAACAACAACGGAGTCACCTCTCAATAAGAAGCCCGGTCGCAACTCAACAATTAGTCGCTCCTTTAAGAATGGTGTGATCAGCGTGCAGGATGTCGGCTTAGCCGGTCTCTTGCCCAAAGGCTATAAGCCACCCAGGACGACAACAACAAAAGCATCAACGACCAAGACTTCCAATGTGCTCGACAGCCTGTTCAGCGACGTTAAGTTTGATGATACCCTCGCAGCTCTGCTGCCCAAGGATTACAATTTGAACGCCTCGACGTCGAAGCCAGCTATCAGCATAGTCGACGATATTTCCAAGTTTTTGCCACCAGGATTCAGTCCCTCAACCCCAACAGCCACCGCAAAAACAACAACTACAACGCAAAGATCCCCAGCAGTTGCTGTACCCTTCGATGATTTGAGCAAGTTTCTGCCACCTGGTTATAAGGCAGCAAAGAAACAAGATGTGCCAAAGATTATACCACTTAAGGTGGATGACATAAGCAGTTTGCTGCCACCCGGCTTCAAGCTAAATGGCACCATCGAGAAGCCGAAGCTGACCGTGGCCACTGAAGATGATGAGTTGCTCGCCTCGCTGCTGCCACCGGGCTACAAGTCCAAATCATTCTTGCATCCCGCCTCCACATCGACAACGACAAGCAAGCCTAAGCCAAGTCCCAGCAGCACCGAGGCACCCGCAATGGAGACCACTACCAGTGGATCCGGTCTAAAGGTCGTCTTTCCCAAAGGCTTCCACAAGCGTATCGGCGTCCATAGACTGACGACGCCACACCCATCGCACGATGGAGATTCGCATGATTCGCATAGTCCACAGTCTGGCGGGGAACCACCGGTGGTGATTAAGAAGGGTCCGCCGATGCGTGCAACCACCGAGTTTACGGGCTGGCCAACACCACCGACGACACCGCTTTCGATAGAAAAGTTGAACGCTCAAACCATTAACTTTGAGGATCTGCTGACAGCAGCGGGCACCAGTAGCAGCACCACAACAACAACAACATCAACAACAACGACGACCACGACTACTCCACGACCCACCAAGCCCGGACATTGCACCGCTGATTGTGACTTGGAGGCGACTATCAAGATTATCGATGGAGTGGCCTGGAAACCGGAGCTGCTGGATCACAACACGCTCGAGTGGAAGAATCTGGCCCACGAGCTAGAAGCTCAGGTAAGAGCGAATTCTTTTATCCAAGTCCTTTCACTGAACCCTTTTCTCCTTTTATCCAGCTCAATGATGTCTACTCGAATGCCGCCCAACTAAAGAAGTGGTACAAAAAGGTGCGCATCGATAGCTTCAGTGAAGGTAGCGTTTTAGTTGATTACTACGTGGAGCTGGCGAACATCACCGAGGATGTGGACACCCTAGAGATTAAGCAGCTGTTCCACGATGCGCTAACCAAGCCCGCAACACACATGCTGCCCGACAAGGATGCACAGGAGAATGAAACGGATAGCGGCATCTCAGGTCCACAGGAGGAGCAACTAGTCAAGGCCAGCTATCAAATGGGCAAATTTATAATAGATCCAGTAGCCACCGAGTTCAGTGGTGAGTAGGGATACAGTCCAGAAAGTGCGTCTCCTCTTTAAAATGATTTCCACTCCTCTTCTTCTTAATCTCTCCATATAGTCATTGCCAAAAATATACATACCAATGTGGAGTCCCCCTCGGATGATTTACCCATTCCACAATGGGCAATTGTGGTTATTGTTATCGGTGTTGGATCGCTAGTCTTTGTCATTATCTTTGGCGTTACAGTGGTAAGTTTTCGCTGGGTTATCTTTTTGAGCAGCACATAAAATGATCCTTCTTGCAGCTGCTGAATCGTCAGAAGCGCGCCAAGAAGACACCAATTCCACTGACGAACGATATGCTTAACGAGCTGAAAGTCAATCACATGGGTGGTGCGGATAACTATGGAGTGGATGACTTCTACAACATTGATGATCCCTGGAACGATACCAAACAGCCAATTAAGCCAAAGGTCCGTTCATTTGTTTATATTCTAGATGGGATCGGTTTAAGAATTTGATCCGCAACCCTATTAAATATTTCCAATGGGATTCTCCAGATCCAGAATCTGTAATATATATATTATAATTGCATTCTCTCTCTCTAATCTCGCAGCGCTTCACAAATTCAATGCATGGCAGCAATAGCTCCAATATCTACGATAGCTGGAGATCCACTCGTCATCCACATGGCAGCAACGCCGACTATTTCTACGATCAGCAGCCGACATACTCCCAAAAGGGTGACTCGCTGAAGCGCCCCCAACTTCATCATCAGCATCAGCATCAACATCATCAGCAGCAGCAGCAGCAGCAACAATATCCGGCCCATCAGCAGGGCTATGGCCATCAATATCCGGATGCCTTTGCCGATGCGCATCAGATGTATAGCTATAACAATCATGCGAGTCGAACGCGTTATTCGCGCGATTACGATCCGGACTTTTAGTTAGTCCCCTCCCAAATCTAATAATATCCTCGACTAACCATGTTCTAGCTTTAGATATTTACGGCCTATCTGGTGTTGTAAATGAATAGCTTAAAGTTTATACATATGAGTAAAATATAATGCTGCTCAGTAACATATATATCTATATATATATATATATGTATTAAGGATAAGGCAGGTATCGTACTATTTATAAAATACATACACAATCGTAGATAAAAATCAACAGGACTTCTATGTAGCTATCAGAGCTTTCTTCTAGTATTCTACCTGCCTCTTTTATATATATATAATTGATATCTCTACTAAATCTATTAAAAATACTTGTTCTACATACTGACATATGTATATGGAAATAAGGAGTGCGCATGTGGACTCCCAAAAAGTAAATAGTCATGCACATTTAGTTAATGCTAGTTTGTAATTATATAGTAAACGTATTGTATTAATTTAATTTCTGGCGGCTTAATATATTACTATATACACATGTCTTTATTTAGACAATGATAATAAAAACAAAAATCAAATTTCTTAAAAAGTATTTACGAAATTTATCTCGTTTATTAACTAGGAATAAATTCCATTTTTCGAGCCTTATCTGTTACGGTTCTTATGCTTAATGAGCTAATGCTATTTTTTACTTTGACTTGACCTAAGAATATGCTTTAAAAATATAGGTTCTTGTGACAATATCACAACAAAAAGTCTACATATCTCGATAAGCCTAAAAGTATACTTATTATTAAATAATTTTGACAAAAAGCTATTTCTTGCCGAAACCCGGGATTGAACCGGGGACCTTTAGATCTTCAGTCTAACGCTCTCCCAACTGAGCTATTTCGGCGCATGCAACTCGTGGCACCAAAGAGCTATACGATGTCAGCGGCAGTTTTTTGAAGCACAATGAGGGTTTTTGTCTTTGCTAAAAATAAATTATCCGATACTAACGAGAAATTTCTTGGCGACGAATTTATTTAAAAATATTCAATATAATTGCGTTATTAAAAAATTAGTTTATCTCAGATAAAAAAAATTGTTTTGCCGAAACCCGGGATTGAACCGGGGACCTTTAGATCTTCAGTCTAACGCTCTCCCAACTGAGCTATTTCGGCACATGCACGCCACGTGTCCAATGCACTAATTGGAAAAACAGACATGGCTATGGCAAAAATATGCAAAAGGATAGTCGTTGCCGAAACCCGGGATTGAACCGGGGACCTTTAGATCTTCAGTCTAACGCTCTCCCAACTGAGCTATTTCGGCACATGGAAATCTGACGATTCAAATCTGATTTTTATCCCAGGCGCCTTAGAACTTTATATTCCTATGGACAGCTAGGTTGACTAAAAAGAACTATACGTACATATATACATATTTTATCTATATATGCATTTGATGTTCTTCATATACAATTCTTCCTGAAATCAAGTAAATAAACGCATATAGTATTGTTTACATCATTCTTTATTAATTCTTTGCGACGATTAAGCAGGATATCTGCTAAATATCTTACAGCTGCTGTAAAAAGCGCCGTAAATTCAATTGGATTTCACACCCTAGAGCTCTCTAAAGCTAAAAAGTTAACGTTCGTTTTGTGTTGTGTCTGTTGGGCTGCTACACGCTAATGCTTACTTTAAATGTTTTCGCAATCTCATAAAATCAATACAATTCGAGGGTTTCTTATTTTAGCTACTAATTGTTACAATTTAATTCAAAGACAGTTAAAAATTTTTACTAATATCACTTTCTAGAAATTTGTCCAATTCGTATTCGTGTGCCAATTATGACATACTACGTCCCTATATGTATATTTTTATGTAATTTGTTCCTCAAAAATTTTACTTAGTTTTGGCATAAAAATAATATTTGTTTCGAGCCAGCTACTATAAAATGAAATAATATTTTCAAAAGTAATTTAAATAATTTTCATTTATTTAAAAATTTAAAAAATAACTAATTATAATAATTGAGTAATTTTTCAAGTGTTTATGTTGTTGGTTCTTTTTATGTTTTTTGTTTTTGTTTTTTTGTTTGTTGGGAGGGGCGAATGGGTGGACTTTGTGTGTGAAGAATCAATTTTCTTACATGCCCTAAGAATATGCATGAGCGTGTTTGTAAAAGTTGTGTGTGCGTGTGTGTGTGGAAGAGTGTGAGAGTTTAAGGACAATTTTAACAATAATTAAAAACTTATCATTGAGTTCGATTACTTTATAAATGTACAAAATATAATTAGTAAACATAAAAATGCATTAAAAACTAAACAAAAAGCACTAAATTGCCGGTCCAATGCCTACAATTGTAAAATTTGTTATTGTGGTTGTTGTTGGTTGATTTGTTGTTGTTGTTGTTGTTGTTGTTACGCCTAATTACATAACTATGATATATAAATTTATAATGTATATGTATTCATGTATGCATATGTATTTATATGGGTTGTAATAATAATATTTAAAACTACAATTCATAACACGACGTAAACAAACAAAGGCCAAGGGGTCGACAGCAAAGTACAAGTATAAGTAGATATACGTGTAAATGTATGCTTGAGTGTATATGCACTTGGTAACTATGTATAAGAGCTGTTGCCATCAAGCAACACATAAATATGTATGCAATAAGTCTGTATATATGTATAAGGTTTAATCATTACAATTATTTGTTTAAATTTTTAATTTTTTTAACTGCAAAAGGCGCAGCAAAACACTAAACAGCATTGCGGGGCATTTTTCAACAGACAAATTCCAATGCAAATTGTTTTTTTTTTATTTTAACGGGCTCAGGCCAACTTAATTTTGATTTCAAATCGCTTTCATATATGTGTACTTCTATGTGATATAATGCATATGATGAGTGTGTGTGTGTTTATGTGTAAGAATGCAGGGATGTGTGTGTGTTTATTTGTTGTTGTGTGCGTCTGTTGCGTTTGGTGTATTCCACTATTCCACAGCGAAACCACAGGTCTCCTCGACGGCTTGCGTCAGTTTGTCGCAGAGCAGCTGATAGTTCTCATAGGGCGGCAAGTCAATGCGATTGAAGCAGGTGTGCGCCTTGGGCAGATTCTGGGTGGGCACATCTACGGTCAGGTGTATGGTAAATAGGCGCGGCCCCACCGCCCCCGTTGAGCCCTGCAGTGCACGGAATCCTTGCAGCGGCACCCGCGACGAGCCCGTCACAAATTGCAGCAATCGTGCTCGCATCTCGAAGCTGTACGATTCAACCACCTGCAAAAGTAAATCCCAATTAAATGGATTGCATTGGATAGAGTCGAAGAGGGCACTGCGAACCTGCCAGAACCAAAGGACCTGGGGCGTTTCATTGGTGCAGTGCTTCATTCGCGTATTGTTGCGCCAGTCGTTCACATCGATGCTAGAAATGCCACCAATGACCAGTTCCAGTTCGCGCTCATCAAATGGCCGCAACAAATGACTGGGTATCAGTTCACAGAAGCCTGTCAGGATTAAAGAATTGTCACAATCAATTCAGAAGAAGTAGAGATAAGGTTGAGATGGATACGAACCCTTTTGCAGTGCCAGAAACTGCTGCTCGATGCCACGCATGAAACGATAATTGACATAGAGCTTAACATACTCGCGTTTATTCTCCTCGGTGACCGCAATGGATGCACCACCGGGCTTCAGCTCATGCACCACCAGTGCGCCAAAGCTATTGTTCTCCACACTGAACGTGGACTCAAAGAAGCCGCTGATGTTGCTTTCACTACAAGATTATCATAATTAAATTGAACTGAATTTGATTTAATGGCCATTTCACTTACAGCATCCAGGTGAGGCTGCGATGCAGCTCCGGATCGACGCCTTCAATGTCGCCCAGTGTGATGGGTTTGTTCAGCAGTTGTTTGTAGAACGGCGTGGTGAATCCACCATCGAGGCAATGGCCATGGAAAACGGCAATGCCCAGTGTGCGGCCAACGAAATGAAAGTAGGACAAATGATCGGGATTGACGCTTGAATCGGGATTGATTTGGAGCGTATAGTGATCGTCGCGACTGTACTGGAATAGGCCGTACTGTGGATTGAGCATCTCGCGGGAGAGCAGATGGAGCCATTCGCGGGCAACACCACCGTAATCCAAGCCCTCCTCTCCCTTGAACTTGACCATGAGCCGCTTGCGCATGTCCTTGGCGCGCATCTTCATAATCAGTCTGTAGCTCTCCTCGAAGATTTCGCTGCGCGACACCTCCAGTCGACAGTGGCCCGACTGTGGCTGCAGCGTCTGCAGTTCTGAGCGCAGTGCCTTCATCTTGCCCACCAAATCACGCCGATACTTGGGCAACAGATCGGCGCCCTCGAGCAGACCCTGCGGCAGATCCGGCACCACAATGTGCGGCGTTGTCCGGCGATGCGGCGTTGTCGTTGTACTTCCGGAGGAATTGGTTGTGGCCGCTGGCGTTGCCGCAGTTAGCGTTGGCGCCACTGCTGCTGTTGATACTGGGACAGCTGCTGCTGGTGCTGCGGATGCTGCTGTTGCTGTATTTGGTGGTGTCGCTGGTGGCCCGCTTCCATTGCATATCCTCTGGAGTATGCTGCCACTGAGACGCGGATCGGTGAACTGCGTGGTGCGATTATTATGATCGACAAAGTAAACACGGCCCGAGGCCGTTTTACGCTGCTCCCAGCCGCTGGGCAGCGATCCAATCTCGTCCAGCGTCAGATGCTGCGTGTCCAGGTCGCGTGGTATGCGCGGATCATGCCATGTCGACACACCCGTCAGTATGTGATAGAAATACACCTGACCCTGCTGCGTCGTTCGCATCTCATAGCCCGGCGGCAGATCCAAAAATGGCCGTGCCGCCTGATTCGCCGCTGCTAGCGCAGCGCATCCGTAACGCACGCCACCAGGAGGAGCACCAGCTGCCGCTGCAGATCGTGTGCCGCGTGAGGAGCGCCTGCGCGCCGCTGCCTCATCGACAGCCTGACGCGAACTGCGACGTTGGGATCGCTGCGCCGGCGTCGTTGTTGTCGTTGTCGTCGTCGTTGATCTGCCCACTGCTGGCTGCTGACTGTTGGCATTCGGACTGTGCACGTTGCCATTGCCATTGACCATGATGCTGCTGCTGCTGCTGTTCGTTGTGGGTGTGGCTGGCGTTGTGGGCGTCGGCGTTGTCACGTTTGTCGCTGATGTGGGACTGTGCCGGGGCGGCGTTGTTGCCGGCGTCGTCGTCGCTGTTGTTGTTGTGGCGCCATCCTCTGCTGGTACCCAGCCATTGTTGGCAGGCTGCACTAACCCATTTCCATTCCCATTCACATAGTTCTGCTGCTGTTGTCCCGTGGGCGATGTGGGCGTCTCAATGGACGCGTGTCCATTGATCGGCGTTTGATGCTTTGGCGTTTTCACATGATGATTGTCGTTGTTGCTGTTGTGCAGGCGACCAGTCGCCGTCGTTGTTGCTCCTGTTGTTGCTGTTGTCGCACTGCTGCTGTTGTTGCTGCTGCTGCTGCTGTTGTTGGGCGTGGCCGGCTCTAAAGCGGCATTGCCCGACCGACTGGATGTGGACTTTTTACCTGGAGTGGATGTCGATATCGGTGTTGATGTCGTCGTCGTCGTCGTCACTCCCGCTGTCCCCGAGGTGGGACTGGTGTTCTCCTTGCCGCCGACGCTCGAAAGTATTTCCGTTGAATGGCGTCGCTCGTCGGGCGACTCGCGCGACATCTGGCGATTGACTCCGTGGCCGTTTAGCAGATTCGTGCAGGTCGTGGAACGTGTTGGGCCAGCTGGAGTCTGCCTATCCACATTGTTGCCATTGTGTTGGCGCTGTTGCGGTGATTTCGTTGCCGCGGTGGCTCTTGGTCGATCCCATTGCGTCGATTTGGTTGCATGGTTTACGTAGTAGATGCGCCCGTTTCCCGTGCGTCGCTCCTCCCAGCCCTCGGGCAGACAGTCGGGCACCGGCGGCTCCTCCTCGGATGGACCGCGCACATCGCCGCTGGGTCCCACAATTGCCAGCGGATTGCCGCTGCAGGGACCATCTTTGGGCACCAGCGAAATGATGATCTGACCACGCACCAACTCATCGTCGTCCGGCGAGTGTTTGCCCAGATCCAAGCGTTGAACTGCAATATGCAAATTGTGATTAGTTTCTAATGGAATACAATTGCAGCAGATTGAAGATTCACTTACAGCCCGTGCCCTTGAGGCTCTGTATGGTCACGGCGGGAATGCGCACACAGCCAAGAAAGCCGCCGCCTTTGTGTATCTTGCGCTGATTGAAAACCGTGATTGTTATCGAATCGCCTCGACCCAGAAATAAATCGTAGTGAGCATTCCATTTGGGATCCAGCGAGGATTTGCTTATCTCCGTATTATAGGTTTGACCGGTGCCATCCACCTGAACCCTCGCAAAGGGATCCGGTAACCCTAAATGCATACAACAATAACAATTACAATTAAACAATTATATTAATATAGTTGTCATTTTATATGTAATAGGATTGCATGACATAAATTGACTAAAGTGACTCAAAGTGAGCCAACTAAATGGCCAACACTATTCAGCCACAAACTGAATGCTATTTTCAAATCGAATCTACTTCGATGCACAACAGCAACAAGAAAAAGTAAACAGTTTACAGTCTAACAATATTGGTTTCCGCTAGAATGTTCTGCTTGCTGTTGCTGCTTTATCTGCTAACGCATTCAATGTTGCCCAGTTGCTGCCATGGACCCAATCGACATCCTGGCTTTCCCAATCGCCTTAACATCGACATTCGAGCGTTGCCCACACGCTGCATGCAGCAACAACAGCAGCAGCAGCAGCCGGAACAACAACAGGAAATCTCAACAGCGACAATAAAGAGCGATATTGAAACAACAAACAGCTTCAGCCAGGTTATCGCAACACAGCCCAGCTCGACTAATCGCAATCCAACAACAACTCGACAACTGATTGTGAATCCCTTCGGTTGGTAGATCCCACAAAACGTGGGTAAATCACACGCTGTCCCATCATATATAAGCGGGCCACAGTGACACAGACCACACCACTCATAAGACAACAACAGTCATGGCATCCACACGCTTCAGCTTCAGCTTCAGCAGCTTCTTCACTTGGTTCCTCCTGGCAATGATGACATTCTCGTGCATCGCTTCAACGATGGCCAGTCCTTTTGATGGACGTCACGTGAATCGCCGCCCTCAGCCAAATCTCACTTTTCCCAAGAAATATCCCGGAACACCGCCTTTCAATCCTCATGGCTGAGAGACAGAGATGTGCAATTTACCGGAGCAGTCGCAACGCACTCAATTAGTTTAATTCACCAAATGGGGTCAACAAATTCCAATTAAATCTGAATCTAAACAACGCTTTAATCATAATTGTTTTTACTCGACTGACCCCAAATCTCAAATGGAGGCCAAGTGTCGTTTGTATTAGTAAAAAGAAAAAATAAAAATAGACTCGTGACCATTGCACAGGTCGCATTTTACTGATTGAGAAGATGACCGAGTATTGCTGAATCTGAACATCGCATGGGCAATTAAGAAGTGCAATTTATTCACAACAACTTTGCAACTTGTACACATACTTTTGCAACTCAGTGTGTGTACATTTACTACACTATCAGCTATCAAGGACAGTTTGGCTGTCCTGTCAAGTGACATGCATATTGCATATTGTTTCAGTACCTGTATCCCAATATCGTAGCCCAATTGTATCTCCACCTGTACAAAAAGTATCTCAAAGTGTATCTCTCTCTCTCTCTCTCTCTCTGTCTCTTTGGGTGTGTGTGTGTGTGTGTGAGTAATTTGAGCTGTGTACAACGACAACGACAACAACAACAACAAAACAGCAGCTGTTGATTGATTTAATGCTCCAAAGAACACAAAAGCAAAACGGCAAAAAAGTAAAAGGAAATATCAGCAAGAAAGCGAGCGAGAAAACTAAAATAAACCAAAATAGTCGACTAGTTGTATGCTCTTTAAAAATACAAATTTAACTAAAAATATTAAATAATAAAAATTATATCACATTTTTACTTAAGCAGAAAATTTGTTTTTTCCAATTTAAAATAAATTTTAGGCTGGGAAATTCAATTAAATTCAACACCAATAGTTGTTTTAATCTGCACTCTTATTTTTTACATACGAAATTTGGTTTGTTATCAAAATATTTATTTGGGACTAATCTCCTACTTAACTCCCCAACAGCAAAAAAAAACTTTATTCTTTACAAATTTTAAAACGTGCTGGGCACTCTTCAATTTTAAAATCCTGCTGCAACGTCTGTTTAATATAGCTAACTAATGTCGAACAAACAATTTATAAATATAAACAAATTATATTTTCGATTTTATGGGGGAAAAAGCATCTGCCTTCAATTCCATTTCGCTGGGTTGAAAATGGATTTATGTATAAATTTATTAAGCTTCAAAAATTGTTTTGGTTTGTAGCAATTATATTTAAACATTAATCAACCTATCGAAAGGATATAAAACACAATTTGTAAAGGTATGAAAAAATAATAGCAGTGAATTAAAATCTGCAAAATAAACATAGAACTGGTTTTTGCAGATAATAAATGACATTAAATATTACATTTGTAGCACATTCATATTATATGAGATTATATTATGAGTAAATATAGGATATGTAATACTTAATCAGAGGCAAATCCAACTGACAAATAATTATAATTTAATAATTAATAATTTATAGGAGATCGATAATCAATTCTGGACATTTTTTCATATTTATTTTGGCGCTTTTTCGCTCATCTTGTAAGATCTACAAAAAAGTTGATGAAAATATTTGTTTCCATCAAAAACCAAATGTTTTTTGTTTGTTTAAACAGTAATAATTGTTATCATCAACAGCAAACGCTTTCAATATATAATTTCTAATGTTTATTCAACTTAATTAGGGGGCTAATTAATCAGAGTCTTTAACAATCTATATTCAAATTTCTACCTAAATAAATTCAATGTTCGTCATCATATTAATTTATACTGACCAAATTAATGCAAAAAAAAACGTATTAAATAAAAAGAATTTTACGGCTCACTTCATGGTCAAAATGCAGATATTGACGTTAGGACTGACATGTTGACTGACTGGCATATTGACTGACTGGTGACTGGCGACTGCCCGACTGCGGACAGCAGATAAACGGACGGACGGACAGACAGACTGGCTAACAGTCGACCACATGTCGTTCAACCCCAATTGACTTAATGGCTGCATTGGCACAATTTTGTGGCTCACGCTGGATGAGGAATACGGAATACGAAATGCGCTGGTGGGCAAATTAACGATTGGCTGCACTTTCTCTTTGGCAACAGCGGAAGTCAGTGTTGCATGAAGCTTCAAATTGCCGCACACACACACACACACACTCACACACATACGCACACACAAGCAAGTGGTAGTTGTGCATCATTTTTAATGCGAAAAAAGAGAAGAAAAGTAAACTAAAACAGTATTGTGTGAGTTATGAGGATTGACCGGCAGCAGCAGCCGCTTTGGTGTTGCATGCCTCGCGCTCTCGTATACGCTCCTCGATCAGCGGTCGAAAGTGACGCATTAGTCCCTGTGGCGGCCATGCGGCACCGTCGCCCAGGGCACAAATGGTATGCCCCTCGATCTGCTTGGTTAGCTCCCACAACATGTCAATCTCCCCGACCTGCGCCTGGCCGGTGACAAAGCGCTGCATAATCAGATGCACCCAGTGGAGGCCCTCGCGGCACGGGGTGCACTGGCCGCAGCTCTCGTGCTTGTAGAACGCACTGAGGCGTGCAATGGCACGGATAATGTCGGTCTGCTTGCTCATCACAATGATGGCGCCAGTGCCGAGGGAGGAGCGCACCTCCATCAGTCCGGTATAGTCGTGGATGGCCTTCTCCGCGTCCGCCTTGGGTATGCATGGAGTTGACGAGCCACCGGGTATGATGGCCAACAGATTATCCCAGCCGCCAGTAACACCGCCTGCATGTCGCTCGATGATCTCACGGGTGGGCATCGATAGCTCCTCCTCGACGGTGCAGGGTCGCTTCACATGCCCCGAAATGTTGAAGAGCTTCGTGCCCGAATTTCCAGTGCGCCCGAAACTGGCAAACCATTTTCCGCCGCGCCGACATATTGCGGGTGCCACAGCCACAGTCTCCACATTGGTCACCGTTGTGGGGCAACCGAAGACGCCAACGTCCGCGGGAAATGGGGGCTTGGAGCGCGGTTTGCCGGCCTTGCCCTCGATGGATTCGATTAGGGAGGTCTCCTCGCCACAAATATAGGCGCCAGCGCCGCGTTGCACATACAAATCGAATTCGAAGCCGGAGCCGCACGCATTCTTGCCCAAATAGCCAGCGTTGTAGGCCTCCAGAATGGCGTACTGCAGATTGCAGGTCTCGTTGAAGAACTCGCCACGCACATAGATGATGCCAGTGTTGGCGCCCATTGCGCATCCTGCTATTAAACAACCCTCGACCAGCTTATGTGGATCGTGTCGGAGGATTTCCCGATCCTTGCAAGTGCCCGGCTCACCCTCGTCAGCATTGACGACAACAAACTTGGGTCGTCCATCCGGTGGCTTATTCATAAACGACCATTTGAGACCGCTCGGAAAACCAGCACCACCGCGTCCCCTCAGACCCGATGTCTTAATCTCATTGATGATCCAGGGTGAACCCTTCTCGATGATCTCTTTGGTCTTGTACCAGTCGCCACGTTTCATTGCCTCCTTTAGGCGCCAGTCGTGGCGTCCGTAGAGATTCGTGAATATTCTATCCGCATCCGCAAGCGGACCAAATTTGGTCTTGGTTTGTGGTGGCGGAGTGCCCGGCGGAGGACCCTTTGGTGGAGGTGGTGGACCTGGCGGTTTTCCAGCTCCTGCTGAGGATGGCGGCTTATTTGCAGTTTGTGCCTTTAGTGGAGATTTTGCAGTTCCTCCAGAGGATAGAGGTTTACTTGCAGGTGGTTTTCGAGGAGATGGTGGTGGTGGTTTTTCAGCTCCTCCAGAAGATGGAGTCTTATTTGCAGGAGGCGGTGGTGGTGCTGCCCCTGCCGGCTTTGTGGGAGGTGGAACATTGCTTTCATCTGGAGGCTTGGCCGGATCACAAGAACCAGACTTGGTTTTGTCCGAGTCTCCGGACTTGGCAGTTGACCATCCGGATGTGGAAAAATGTTTGGCAGGTCCCGAGGGGGGCGTTGGCTTAGCAATTCTGTAGTCACCTGGTGCAGACTTATTCCCAGTTAACCTTTCTCCATCGCCAGAGCTTTCTTTGCCCTCGTCCTCTTTGATTGTCTGTTCATTTTGCTTCTCTTTCAGAGCGCGGAGAACGGGCAAGCATTTGATTTTGTCCACTTCTTCCTTGGCTTTGCTTAGCACTTCGGCTACTTGGCTATCTTCGGTTTCGGCCAACCGCTCATTGAGTGGAAATTTTGTGGTGCTTTCATATTCGGTCTTTAGTGGAAATTTCGTGAGTTCCTTTAACTTAATAATGGTTTCCACCTTATCGGGTTCCTTTACGATTTGATGAGTCCCCTGTCGCTCCCTAATCATTGTGCGCATCCTGTGCTTTTTATTCTCAATAATTTCGGGCACCGACAATGTGGGGATCGACTGTATTGGATAAGAACAGTCGTCTGTGTCAACCGGATGCTTCGCTTCAGTATGGCCAGCGATATCATCATCATCATCACAACTGCTGCCCTTTCCCTTGGTGCACATAATGCGGACTTGGATCATCTGTGCGGGCAGCTTCAACAGCAACGAAACATTTCCCAATCTTGCGTCATTACCAGCTATTAATCCTGCTTTCAATTCGTAGCCTACAAATGCCAGCTTTCCCACATCTTTGTTCTTACTCCGCATGACGAGAAGTTCCTCGTGTATTTTGGCGTTTCCACCAACATTTCCTGTTGGTTTTTTACAATTTGCCAAAAATGTTTTATTGCAATTCAACGGAAATTGCTTACGCAGCAGTAATGTTATCATTGTTTTTTATGCTTCTCAAATGGAGAAAAAAAAACGCGCTTTCTATTCAAATTGTCCGAGTTTGTAAACCTATTTTGCTTGTGATAGCAAAAGCATGAGTTTAGGACAAGAAATGTATATAAATATATTTATATGTATATGTGCTTTAAATTCTGAACTTAATTTCTTAGAGATAAATTTTGGGAAAGTTTTGACAATTATATATAGGGAAGCATTTAATATATGTGTAAACATACACAAAAAAAAAGTACCAAAAAATCAAATTCAACTGTCAAAAACTATATTTTTTGCGTAGTTAGTTAGTCATAACACATGTTCGACCATAAATCCCTGGCCTATAATATCTATTTATACATCGCTCAAGCGCTTTCCGATAGTACTACCCAAGTCCTAATAAAAAATAAAAAAAACACAAAGACACACACCCAAACAAATTTTTACCGGGTTTCCGACGAGTTTTTTCCCCAATGTACAAATCTAATCAGCGCCAACGATAAATATATATATATATATATATATATATTATAGCCGGTAACTTTTTGTTCCCATCAATTTATTTGCATGGCGGCACAGAAACCTTCTAACCTATGACAAAAAAAAAATAAAATATGTAATCCAAGTGCGTTAAAGTGCGAGATCTTTTTACCATGAGAAGATGGAAATAGAGTACAAACACACACACACATATATATATATATATATATATATATACATACTCGTCGCTTAGTCAAAGCTACTTGGCATAACGCTGCTAATTACACATTAGCATTTATGTGCCACTTCAAATGGCATAGAAATCCGCACAGTCCTTCTTTGGAGGCAGCCACCCCTAGCCCCGCCCCCTAACGTAGCAAGCGAACACCTGTCGAATTATTTGGAATGCGCTGGCTGCAAGCCTATATCTAACATATACAGATAGAAATATACACACAGATATATACAGATACAGATACAGATACAGATACGTAGTAGTGTTTAATTAAAGACGGCATTAGGCAATGCGGACGCCGCCCCGCGTGATTAAGTGCAGCGATGTGTAAAAAATGTATGAGAGAAATACAAAAATAATACATAACAATAAATAACGCACGCATACAAATACAGATTATAGTTGCTTGTGTGTGTGTTCGAAAGAGAGGGGAGAGCAACGGCCACAATGAAAGTAAATTACTAATAATCATTTTAGTTGTGTGTAAATAAAAAATTATAGCAAATGAAGAAAAAATAAAAAAAAACACTTGGCGGCATGGCAACTGTAATTTGTGGATATAGGAATACAAATTCAACCACCCCTGCAACACCACCCCCACCCCTATGACGATCCATCGTGCGTGTAATTTGGAAAAACAAAAAAAAAAAAAAATGAAAGTAGACAAAAGGAAACGCTAAATTTACCTCGAAACGAACGAAGCACGTAGTACATTCAAAACAATCAAAACGCACCAAAACCTAAAATTCGTGGCCATACTTTGATTTGTTTTAATAAAAAGTTGAGCGCCCAATTTGTATGCAAATTAATTATTAATATCTTAAAATGATTCTCATAAGAAAAGAAAAACAAGAAGTACTTACGAAACAAATCCTTGCGCGCCAAATTCCTTGCACACAATACTGAAAAAGAAGAAAACATTTATTGAAAGAGACAATCAAATGCTGATGATGAATTATGTATGCATATTTAGCAGCAAGACTTACGCGTTATTCGAATTTTGTGTTGTCCATTGCGACGTGGATAATCCAGTTTATTCATAATTTCAGACTTTAGATTTTGGTTATTTTGTAGTTGTATTTTTGATGTATATAAAAATATAGTTAAACTATTTGTTATTTTTTTATAAAACAATTGGTCTGTCTGACACTTGTCTTGCTGATCATTTTTGGGCAATAAAGTGCTGTTGTTGTTGTTGTTTTTATTGCTGGCAGCATGTATACAAATTGAAGCGAAGTCGAAGAAGGAGGTAGAGAGAGAGATAGCAAAAAATATATATCTCAAATTTTCTTGTTGTTGATGTTGTCGTTGTTGTTATTGCCGCAGCAGCAGCTGCTGCCGCTCTTGTTGTAGCCTTGAGAATTTCTGTTGTTTTTGCTGCTGTTGCTGTTGCAGTTCTGTGTCATTGTTTGCACAGTGAAATATTTATAATTCATGTGTTGTTGTTGTTGTGTGGTTGGTTAGTTGCGGTGGCGCTGCGAACAAGTGCAAACTGCAAGAGAAGGCGACAAAACTGATTATTTATGAGTTTCATAATTGAATTTATACGAATTGTTTTTTATTAGTACACAAACACACACATTTTGATAACTAAACCGTTCGTTAAGATAAGCATTTGCATATGTGTGTGTGAGTATACGTGTGCATGTGTGTGTGTGTCTGTGTGGGTGGTTATCTGAGCTATGAAAATGAATGGAGTGCGTATTAGTATTAGTAACTGTAGAAGAGGGCGTGCAAACTGCCGGCAAACGACGAAGACGAAAACACACGACAAAAAGGGGGAAGGAAGCGAAAAAACTGCTTTGGCAGGTAGCACAAAACACAACTCACCCGAAACTGTTTTGCTTCTGTTTTTGTTGTTTTTGATGCTGCTGCTGCTTTGGCTGTTGCCTTAAAACCATTTCACACGCACATGTCGCACACACAAACACACACACATTGAGACGGACGCATGTTGCAAGCACTTTTGTTATTTCATAAATTGTATTAAATTATAGATATATATATACATACTATGTATGTTTGCATACGTATTTATTTGAGCAGTCGCTTAATTAACTTTAATATGCTTCCTGCGTTTGTATGGGTGCAAACTATGTGTGTGTGTGCGAATGTGTCTGCTGCTTCTGGTGTGCCACAGAATTTGCAATAATGTTAAGGCCCTGCCCGCCACACACACTTGTTAGTTATTATAAAATTTGCATGCACATGTGTGTGCATATATATGCATATATATATATATATACATGTAATATATATACACAGTTGTCGATTTAGAACTCTGCACTACGCATTTGAAGGCAACAACAATTTGCAGCAGAAATATTCTTTCGTTTTTTTTACGCACTGCTCTCGTTTTTAATACTTACAGAGAAAGAGAGACGGCGAGAGAGCAAATGATATATGAACGACAACCGACGACGACGGATGAAGCACGTTAGCTGCTGCACGCACAGGTCTATTTTGCAACAGTTTATTGAAGTTACAGCTAGTTTAACTACATAATTTCGCGTGATTTGTATATGCTGCCGTGCACACGCTTTAATTTTGTTTATAAACTATTTAATGCTAATATCGCGCAGAAATCAGTTCTTGTTCAACGAGAAACGCCATTTTTATGGATGGTTCCCAAAGCACAGTGTTGTAAAGCGCAATTTTCCACACTGCTGACCAAAATAGTATTTTATGGACGCTGCACAGCACTGAACAAAAGTTTGGCGCTGTTTGCGTTTTTTGGTGCTTTATATATATTTTTTTTAATTGTGGAAAATAATGTCAATTACACTCGATTTCGATGTTAAGCAACTGGCTAACAAGCGGCAACTGGAGCTACACTATTTACCGGCGAAAATCAATGGCGATGGCGAGTGCGCCAATGTCGATAAATATTTCAACAATTATACGCGCGAAGCGTCGGACTACGGAACAGGCGTGCTGACAAACGCTCTCCGGGGATATCCACTGCTGGGCAAGCGAGAGGCAGTTCCCAAGGGATACAAAGGTGTCGTCCTGCAGGAGACGGATCCACATCAGGCACAACGCCAACTGCGGCTTACTGGCACTTTCGAGGAATTCACATATTGGAATTACGACAAAGTGCCCTCCAAAGGCGATGGCTATCAACAGGCAATGACCATGCTACAAGTAGCCGAGGCGGTAAGTTGAGAGTATATATTTATATAAATATATATATATATATATATATATATATTACATTAATCCATCCCCACAGTTGGCTGCACCCATTGGCGAAGCGGAGCTGGAGGAGGAATTGAAGAGACAGCAGCAGGCGAAGAAGGAGAATCTTTAGGAGTTTAGAGTTGGTGCGCTTACAGCGTTTATAGTATATCGTATATAGTATTCCAAAAGCTAATCAAATGTCTTTTACAATTCATACACTTTAGAATTACAATTTTTGTATAAAAGATTCAAATATAAATACGTATATGTATGTGGATGTTCATGTTGATGTGGATGTTCATGTTACGATTATGTGGAGTAGTTGCTGATGGGTGTTGCAGCTATTTTCTGTAGCAGCTTTATTCATCCGCATCCTCGAAGCGCTCATCGTCGTCCTCCAGGCTCAGATTCTGCATGCCACCCACTTCGCCGCCATTGCGACCGAGCGTGAGGGCATCCTCGATCATGTCCTGGTCATCGAATGCCATACCGCCAGCGTCCTCCATGGGTTCGCTATCCTCCGAGTTGCTGTCCGCCGAATCTGGATGCAATGCCTGGCACGTGGTCATCGCATTGTACATGGTGTCCACAATGTGAATATCGTCGGGCAACAGCCAGCACTCGGTCACCTCCAATTGCTGATCGACAGCATCCTCAAAGTTATCGTCGTCATCGTCGTCCTCCTCATCGTGCTCATCACTCCCATTGCCCTCGTCCACATCGTTGTTGGCAGCAGCAGCAGCATTGTTATTATGCTGCTGCGGCTCATCGCCGGCGCCATTCTGTCCATTGACTTCGAGGTTTCTGCCCATATAGACGCCCTCCCATTCCACTTTGCGATCGAGCATGAAGTAAATACACTTCCTCGGATTCGATGAGATGCCGTGCAGGCTCACCTGCTTCCATTCAATCGAGATGCCTTCGGCCAAATCCATTGGCTGCCAGGACAGCGTACTAAATAAAAAGAATAAATCAGTAAAAAAAAAACAATTATACAAAAATTTCTCAGGCATTGCCGGACGAGTTTTGCGCTCACTTTTGTGAAATGTATATTCTGCCCTGTCCGACGACTTTATCGCCGAGCTTGAGCTTGATATTATTGGCGGTATATAGGAGACCGTGCTCGGGTGGACTAATCGGCATAATCAGTACCATTTTAATAGAGGATTGTGCAAAAAATCACACGACAATAAACAAATTTCCAGACCGTCTGGCAGCGGTAAACTCACTCAAAGTGTTGGCTAACGTCAAACACTACTCGTGTCCTATTTGCAAATCTGTACCAAAAATACCAACACTACTGCAATCTTTCAGTATTTATTCCCACGAACAAAAATACAAACCAATAAACATTTGATTTTGTTCAACACTGTGCCCTTATTATTTTGACAACATGTAGCAACTCTGTAATTCAATTCACAGCGGTTGGCACGGCGAGCGTCTTGCTTTTTTTTTTAACTATTTATCGACAATTAATTTACACAGCCAAGCAGCTAGGAAGCTATGGAATGTGAACCTTATGTCAAGTAGTGTGTATAACTAACAAGTGCTTTGAAATACATGGCTTAAATTCTATATAGCTAGGAGGCCAATTTGTCGTTATTGTTGCTGTTGTTGTTGCTATTGTTGTTGCTGTTTTAACTGCGACAGCTGCCAAAATACATACACACACACACATATATATAAATATATATATACATTTGAAGAGACGGCCAACAATGGACATGGAATACGTGAATATCAATGAATTTAACGACCTCGAGCTGGCGACGCGCATGCGCACCTGCAACTATGAGAAATACAAATCTCTCGTTCGCATGCATCTCTCATTTGAGCTCGAATTGAATACCGATGAGTAAGTTTAATTGTCTTTCTCTTTCTTTTTGTGTTTGTGTTTCTTTTGCTGACTGTGTGTGTGTGTTCGTGTGTTAATTACAGATTCGATTTGGCCTGCCACGAAATTGTCTACGAAGACAAGGGCAAGTTGAAGAAGTGGAACAGGCTCTCGAAGAAGCACAGACTGGGTCATGTTGGCAATGCCTCCAGTGTTGCCAATGTTGCTGGCTGTGCCTCGGGAAACGGCAGCAAATCGGTTGGCAACAGTCCCACAGAGGGCCTGCAGCAGCAAATCGATGCCGGCTTCCAAATGCATATGCTGGAGCTCAAGCAGTTTCTCATGCTGGAGAAGAGTAAGTGGCAAAGCTGTCTAGCAAGTCAAGGAAAGTAGTTGTAAACAATAAGCATCATCTTCACCAGATCTCAATCAGGAGGGACTCTTTCGTAAAGGCGGCTCCGCTTCGCGTCAAAACGAGTTGCGTCTGCACATCCAGCAGGACAAACCGTTGGAGCTGGAGCAGGCCGGCTTTTCGGCACACGATTGCGCCACCGTTTTCAAGAGCTTTCTCGCTGAGCTGCCAGAGCCACTGCTGACGGATGCACACTATCCGGCCCATTTGCAGATAGCGCCGCTTTGCCAAGTGTTGCTCGCGGAGCAATCACAGGCCAACTTGGAACGTCAGCAGCATCTGCTGAGCTCGGTGCAGTTGCTACTGCTGCTGCTGCCGGAGGAGCAGCGTGAGTTGCTGCAACACATCATGGAAATGCTGCACGCTGTGGCGCTGCACGAGGCCACCAATAAGATGAGTGCAGAGAATTTGGCCACTTTGTTTACACCGCATTTGATCTGTCCACGCAACATGCCGCCCGAGGTGCTGCACTACACGGCTAAGCGAATGGCCAGCATTGTGGCATATATGATTGTACACAACCTGGACATCTTTGCCGTGCCAGCTAAGCTGGCAACTGATATACGGGCGTACTTTCTTGAACGCAAACGCAAGAAAACCATGTCGCCAGAGCAAACGCTCGACGAATCCATCTCGGACATCTCGACGGTCAACACGGTGTACACTTTTGTAGATCGCGCCGCTACAGCAGCGGCAACCACATCCAACAACACAGACACGGAGTTGGCCCAACTATACGCCCACATTCAAAGCCTGCCGGAGTCCTCAAAGAAACGGCGTCTCATTAAACAGTTTAACAAACAAAATGGACAGGGTAATATAATAATTATATATTGTGGAGAGAAGCAAATTTAAGTGTTTATTTGTTGTTTTAGGCACTCCATTGCAGTTGGTCGTCATGAATCGACTGAAGAACAATGAGGCGACGCGCAGTGCAAAATCCCTGGGTGACTCCATAAAGAAGCACATATTTCACAAGAGTCTCATGTCGCGCACTCCGAAACGGGCGCCCGCCCTCCAAGCTATGCACGGCTCTGAGGTGGGTGGCGGTTGTGTTTTTTGTATGCTTCTCATAACACTTGCAGTGGATTATAGAATATATAGAATTATGTAATAAGAAATCGGTTTTAGAACTGCTTAGCGTATAGCACGTGTGTATGCTTGTCCGTTGGTCTGTCTAAACAATTCTGGAGAACTAATTCTTGTGTACAACAAATCAATAATTAATTAATTTGAAACTTAATTATATTTCGGCAGATTATAGATTCAAAAAAAGATTCAATTGTAGATTAAAAAAAAAACGTTAAAAACAGCAGACAAATGTGTTCTCTTAAAATTTAAGAGATAACACTCTTAATTTCTGATAAGGTATCAGATCAGTTTATAAGTTAATCTATTGATTTATAGATTTTCTAAAATCTGATTTAATTTGATTATTTTGTTGTCAGCATTGACTGAAATCATGAATCATAAATTATTCTCTTACAACTAAAAAGATAAGATTATTGAAGACTATGCATTTTTTAAAGTTATAATATATCAGATTAAAAGCTAATCTTATCATTTATAGTCAGCCTTAAAATATTTATAAATCTGCAAGAGTATTTAGAATTCATAAACTGTTCTCTTACATTTGTTGAGATAATATTATTAAACACTATTCTTCTCCTAACGCATCTGCTTATAAGTTTATGTTAATAGTTATAGCTTATAGTCAGCCTTATACAAGATTCTCCAAAAACCGACTTTGTTTGCTAGCCTGAAATCATAAATTTCGTTTTTAAATATACATCTGCAAGAGTATTAATACATCGGCACGCCGATCGTATCCAATTTCGTTTCTGAACTAACCGCATGTTGTTTGTGTCCCTTTGCGCAGACGCCAAATCTATCGCATGTGAAGGCGCCAAAGTTGCGCGTGCTATTCCAAAGTCCGACGCCACCGATGCCACTGTCCACATCCATAGTCCCCTCATCATCATCATCAGCAGCAGCATCATCATCAGTCGGCGGCACTAACACACTGCACACGCTTCACAAGTCCATTTCATCCGCATCGTTGAAGATTGAGTCATCGTCGGATGGCAGCAGTTGTGGTGCCAACAGCAGCCACTCGGCGCCCGTCAGTCGCCAGCAATCGCATGAGTTGCCAGCTGGGCCAGCTACTGTGCCCGAGCTGGACGAGATCGATGCCGACGATCGATGCTGTGTGACGCCGGGGAAGATCATTTCGGCGGTGGCGCAGCAGCTGATCAGTGTGACGGCTGATAAGAAGAGCGTGGTGTGGAACGATCACCGTCTGCTGAATATCGAGGAGTACTCGAATCCCTGCACGCCTGTCCACCAATCCTCGCGCTACAAGTCCGAGCCTAATCTGTGTAGTCTGCTGCCACAGGTGCACGACGACGACAACGACCATGATTACGATCAGGATGCCGCACTGACGCCCATTGCGGAGGTCTCAACGACAACAGCGGCTTGCAGTGGCATGGGCAAATCCCTGACCCGCAAGCTGATGAAGGGCGTTAGCATGGGCAACCTACGGTTTCCATTCAGCACACCGGAGACAACAAAGCGCTTGGTGCGCAGCGTTTCGGCCACGCTCAAGCGTCGCCCCAGCTCCAACGAGGATGCCAAGCACTTGCCGGCAGCGGATGCTCCCCTGCTGGAGGATGTCGACGATAGTGATCTGGAACAGCAGGAAGATGCTAATGAAGATGATGATGATGACGACACCTTGTCCGAGGTAAATGGCAGCTCCAATGAACTGCCTGGCATGACCGTGGACATCAGCTACCATCAGCAGCTGCTGCAGAGCAGTGTTTATCGCAATCTGGATCTGATAACAAGCACGCCAGCACTGCGAATGGGTCGCCGCTCCATGTCGCCAATAACCAAGTCCACACAACGCATGCCCAAGGCAATGCAGGTAAGTGGCGCATGTCTTCTACAGTCCAGCATGTTAATCTTGAATCCAACAAAGAAAGAACCCAAGCTAAAACATTTGAATTTGTTTGCAGGAATCCATTATGACACCACGCTCGCGCAAGCCTGTCATGCTGCTCACTGCTCTAAACAATGGCGATCAGAAGCAGCAGAATCGTAGCTTTGGCGAGCAGCAGCCGGATGAGCTGTTGAGCACCAAGCAGCTGGAGCCACCGGTGCTGCATAGCGAGGATGCCACCTCACTGGGTGGATATGCGGATATCCTGAGGCGTCAGCAGAGCTTTGTCAATCAACGGCAGCGAACGAGCAGCAGCAGCAATAGCAACAGCAACAGCAATAGCAATGAGCTGGAATTGGAACCTTCACTGGGAGGCAAGCCACCTAATGCTCTCTCCAGTGATTTCAAGTGAGTTGACAGAGTTAAGCAACTTGTCCAGGCTTTATAATAATTTGAAGCTCTTTCCCCTCCAACAGGGAGTATTTGCTAACGCGCAGTGTTTTGACCGCCAGTCCGGCGGATTTGTCATTTGCGAGTCGCTCGGATGACTTTGGTGGCGCCAACACCACACAAGATATTGAGGATTTTGATGAGTCCGAGCTGAGTCCCAGTCTGCTCTATTGCTTGGACGGTAATGAACCGGCAATTGCCTCGCCACTGGGCAGTTTCAATAACGGTCGCAAACGCTCGGCGGACACACCTCTTAAGGCTGCCCGTGGGGCAGATGATGATGCCGCCGGCAACAAGGAGAATATTTCTAGCGGCGATGCCGATGAGCATTTGCACACCAAGAAATTGCTGATTACTTCTAACGAGGAGTATCCGGGCGAAACGGCGCTTTGAACTCATCCTTACAGCATTTAACGTTAAAACCGTTGCACGGCTTTAAGAAAATTGTCTTATTATCAAACATATTGCTTCCGTGAAATTGTTTTCGAAAAAACAAACAAGCAGCCAGAAATGGCAGCGTTTTAAATATAAGTTTAACGCATTCGCGTTTTTTTTCAAAAAATTAATATGTAGTTTACGACTTACATTATAAATGCATGACTCAAAAAATTAAACAATTACATAACAATAAAAGTATTTTATTAACTTTACCGTTGATTTTTTATTTGCATATAGTACAATTGTTCGTTTTAAATCATAAAATTGCCTTCGAATTAGTAACCTTTTAACATACAAGTTAACTTCAACGACTGATTCGAGTGAGCAAATATCGATATGTTATCGCTTTTGCTATTGCTCTTTAGGCAACACTGCCATTTGCTTTTATGGTGCACTTACACAACACTCGAAAACAGCTGATTTTTGTTGACAGCCTCTTGAAGCGGTGATGACAACAAATTTATAGTCAAACAAGTAAAATAGAAATCTGTTAAAATTTATTCACCTTAAAATCAAAGACCAGCAGCATGGGCACATGGGTACTGGAGGTGGCCAAAATGGGCATGTACATGGCATTCCCTGTGGCGCTATTCCACTTCTTCAACCAGCCGGAATACTTTGAGGAATGGGTGACCAAAAAGAAGCGAGAACTCTATCCGCCGGAAAGTAAGAGCCACCACGAGGAACTGCAGCGAGCCATACGTGAGCACCACCAGAAACACGACGAGCAAATGATGCGAGCAATGGAGGAGGCGCAACGCAACAAGTAAAACTGAGTGCAGTGTTTTTGTTTTTCTGATATCAGCTTTTATTATATAAGACAAGTGAACATTAAGTGTGGAAAAATGTCTCATTGAGTAAATCTTAAATTGTTTTTGTAAGAACACTTTGTAATTGCGCCACGAACAAAGTACTTCTGCTTGTGTAAATAAAAATAATGATGTGCGTTTATTTTTCAGTTTTTATTTAGTTGGAACTGAGAACTTGGAGGGTTTGATAGCAAGCCTTGTATGACGCTAATGATGATCACATGAATCAATTGCAGTAGTTCGCTGCGTGGCAAAACAATCCACTTATCAATGAAGCACCAGATAGTAACCCCCCACCCCTCTTTAACATTATTTCAGAAGTGCCACAAGTTGTGGCGACAACTCACCTCCAATTCCATTGAGTGCCAGAAGTGCCAGCGCCAGTGTACCCAATGAACCACAGTCGACAGTTATTCTGCGAATATTTACTCTTGTGGATTATGGGATCGGCCTTAGATTAGATCCATTCGCAAAAGATTTGCATAGAGACCACAACTGTGCTTCAGTAGCTGCTGCTATTATCTAATTCTCACACGGCATTTACAGTAACAACAAACACCAGCTGTATAATGTTCATATACACAGATTGTTTTTATACCCATCGTTGGGAGTATTTTGATTTTGTCGTGGGGTGTGAACAATCAATGATAGAGCGTTGGCTTCCTGAATTATGAAAAAATATTTATATTATTTACAACAAATAATTAACATTGGCTTCCATATACGAATGGTTTTTTTTTTTGTATAATTAATAATTAAATTTAAGATTTAAATATGAGCTCTTTTATCTGCATCTAATCTTCTAATCTTTAGCGTGCTCAAAGTAGTTTTTATATGTGGGTTTTCGTATGTTTAGTAATGTATTAGTAATGATTGTGGGGGGGGGGGGGGGGGGTAATTTGGGTTCTAACTGCTTTTCTCACACCTGTGCTTCAGTTTGCACTTGATTTATCAATTTGCGCGGCCGACGTCGACTTCGCAGTCGTCAGCCAGGCATATTGGCAGCAATGCGATTCATAAGCCAAGCAACGCTTGTCCATCCACATTCAGTTTGATTTAAACACTCACACGGAACAGAACGAAACGGAATACACCGAAAATGGCGCAGGCAAAGGTGTTGCCACAATATATAGCCGGTCTATCGGCGGCATTTGGAGCCTTCTGTATGGGCGCCAGCATGGGCTGGTCAGCTCCTGCCGAGAAAATGCTGACTGAGGACGAGGACTATGGTTTTCCAGTGTCCGGGGATCAGTTTGGCTGGATCTCCTCTTTGTTGACACTGGGCGCTACAGTTGTGTGCATTCCCATTGGATTCATCATTGACATATTTGGACGTAGGCCGACCATGTTGGCATTAATACCTCCATACATGGTTGGTTGGTTTCTGATGATCTTTGCAAATAGTGTAATAATGCTATATTTTGGCCGATTTATTCTTGGAGTCTGTGGAGGAGCGTTCTGTGTGGCTGCTTCGATGTACAGCACGGAGATCTCGACAATTGATACTCGTGGCAAATTGGGCAGCTTCTTTCAGCTGAACACCGTCTCGGGACTGCTCTATGGATCCATAGTTGGTGGCTTCACTCCACTCCTGGCCACCAATATATTGTGTGCGATACTGCCTCTAATCTTTGCTCTGGTCCACTACTTCATGCCAGAGTCACCAGTTTATTATGCCATGAAGGGACGACGGGATGATGCAACCAAGTCGCTGATCTGGCTGCGTGGCAAGAATTGCGATATCAGCGAAGAGCTCAATGAAATGATGGAGGCGAGCAACAAGGGAGTCGATGAGCCCAAGGTAAACATTTTCAGGGCACTGCGACGTCCCATAACGCTCAAAGGACTCAGCATCGCAGTGATCCTGCAGGCTCTGCAGCAGTGGACGGGCATTAATGCCATCATGTTCTACTCAACATCCATTTTTGAGGAGGTGGGCGCCGGATTACCTGGACGCGTCTGCACGGTCCTCATTGGACTTACACAGGTGGTGATGACGCTGATTGCGGCGTTGATCATCGACAAGGCTGGTAGGCGCATCCTGTTGCTCGTCTCTGCCTTCTTTATGGCCATCACCACCTGCCTGATGGGCGTCTATTTCCAAATGAGTCAAAGCGATCCGGATTCAGTGACATCCATTGGCTGGTTGCCAATTACTAGCATCCTGCTGTTCATTGTGTTCTTCTCGATTGGCTTCGGACCAGTGCCCTGGCTGATAATGGCCGAGCTATTCACCGAGGATGTGAAGAGTGTCGCCGGCTCCATTGCGGGGACCAGCAACTGGTTCTCGGCATTCCTGGTCACGCTGCTCTTCCCGATCCTGAAGAACTGCATTGGGTCTGGTCCAACATTTTGGATATTTTCGGCCATCGCCATTGTCGCCTTCGTTTATTGCTTGTTGTGTGTGCCGGAGACGAAGGGCAAAACACTGGCGGAGATTCAGCTGATGTTGGCCGGAGGCAAAAAAGGCAAAGATGCTGAGACGAGCTTCGATCCTAAGATTGAGGGGCTCAAAGAGAATTTGTAAGCTTATAAATATAAATGTATGTTTTTGTTTTATATCTAAATCTAGATTGTAACACTTTAGTCTCTAAGAACAATACTGTGCATAACTGTAACTGTAACTGTAAGCTAGCAAAAAAATTAATTATATTATTAAAAATATATTAAATAGTAGCGACATTTAATGCCCATTTTTAATTGCAGGCTTGATATCATCAAAATTATTCAAAACAAACAAAAATTATGAATGGAATACACTCAGAGAAAAACACTGCCCAAGAACATTATAAATACAATTTTTAAGCTTGTCAAAAGTGATTTATAATCTCGATCGTTTCTTCAGGACTTTGCCTTCTACTGTCTTTATTTATTTATAAATATTCTATACAACAATATCTTAGAACAGCTTCTTATCAGTATTGTTAAATTGCAACTTGTAAATAAATAAAATAAATTATCGTAGTTAAGAGGATCCTCAAGGATCGGCGACTGATTAAACTCTATCCTAATGAAGATTAGACACCATTTGAAAAGGCATCTCATCTATTCTTTCGGTGTATCATTTTTATTACCGCCTGCGAGGATCTGTTGAATCTCCTCCAGGCTTCTACCTTTCGTCTCGGGCACATATATCAAAATGTACACAAAACCAAGAAGGCTAATGCCAGAAAACACCCAAAATGTTGCTGCTGGTCCGATATTGTTCTCCATCACAGGGAAAATCTTGGTGACCATAAATGCGGACAGCCAGTTGCTGGTGCCCGCAATGGAGCCGGCGACACTCTTCACATCCTCGGAGAATAATTCGGCCATCATCAGCCAGGGCACGGGTCCAAGGCCAACGGCACTGGCCACTATAAAGATTAGGATGCTTGTAATTGGTAACCAGCCAATGGATATCACCGATTCGGGATCGGTGTCCTTCATTTGAAAATAGACACCCATCAGGCAGGTGGTAATAAAAGCGAAAAAAGCGGAAATAAGCAGAAGGATACGTCGTCCAGTCTTGTCAACTAACACAGTCGCCCCCAAAGTTATCACAAGCTGAGTAGTTCCAATAAGCATCGTGCACAGTCGCCCACTTAACTCGGCACCCACATCCTCGAAAATAGACGTGGAATAAAACAGGATGGCATTAATGCCCGACCATTGCTGCACAATTTGTAGAATCACTGCGATGCTAAGTCCCTTGAGGGTTACGGGACGTCGCAGTGCCCTGAAAATGTTCACCTTGGGCTCATCGGCACCCTTGTTGCTCGCCTCCATCATTTCATTGAGCTCTTCGCTGATATCGCAATTCTTGCCACGCAGCCAGATCAGCGACTTGGTTGCATCATCCCGTCGTCCCTTCATGGCATAATAAACTGGTGACTCCGGCATGAAGTAGTGGACCAGAGCAAAGATTAGGGGCAGTATCGCACACAATATATTAGTGGCCAGGAGTGGAGTGTAGCCACCAACAATGTATCCATAGAGGAGCCCGGAACAGGTGATCAACTCGAAAAAGCTGCCTAGAGTGCCACGTGCATCAATTGTCGAGATCTCCGTGTTATACATCGAGGCAGTCACACAGAACGCTCCTCCACAGACTCCAAGAATAAATCGACCAAAGTATAGCATTATTACACTATTTGCAAAGATCATCAGCAACCAACCAACCATGTACGGAGGTATTAATGCCAGCATGGTCGGCCTACGTCCAAATATGTCAATGATGAATCCAATGGGAATGCACACAACTGTAGCGCCCAGTGTCAACAAAGAGGAGATCCAGCCAAATTGGTCTTCGGACACTGGAAAACCATAGGCTTCGTCCACCGTGAGCATGTCCTGGACGGGAGAAGACCATCCCATGCTGGCGCCCATACAAAATGCTCCAAATGCCGCCGATAGACCGGCTACATATTGTGGCAGCACCTTTGCTTGCGACATATCAAATCAAACTGTTGACTGTTGTTGGTTAACATTGTAAACTGATCAAATCTAATAAGTGGTTCTCAAGACTTGGGAAATCGGTAAAGCGAACTCTGTTGTAAATAAATGTGCATTGAAGATTATTCAGTTAGTTGGCGATAGCGCTAAGAACTGTGTGTGTTAATTAAATGAAGACTTGCAGAAGATTAAATACCCTTGACTGTGTATTTGATGTAATTATTTAACTTTTTGATGTGAATATTAGCCGAATAAAACTTTTAATTATGAACAAGATAGATCTACATTAAGAACATGAGATAGCTATCAACCTTGAACATATAAATCCAATATGGTTTCTGTAATGCGTTAAAGATTCCCCTGCAGTGCTTTGATAATTACAAGTGTCGCTGTGAAAATTAGATTAGAATTAGTAGTAGACTAGTCTATATAGTCTATATACACCTATCGGTCAATTGTCGGTCAACGGCTGGGAATATTTAACTGAAAGGTGGATGGCAATATGGTCGACACTTCGAGTATATCTACGGCTAAGAAATGTTGATTTGGCTATTGACTGATTACCGTAAAAATGCACCAGTTTCCTGAATTTTGTACAATTTCCAAGTGTTTTATTAATTATGTTTTTGCTTTTCTGTGTGTCGTGTGTGTGTGTGTGTGTGTGTATTTTATATAATACGAATTTAAATATATATGCATTTACTTAAGATCTAACGAATATTAATAGACAGCATTCTGCTGGACGCTGCTCTTTATATTCTTCTTCATGGTTCCATTATTATTTCATTTTCTTTCTTTCTTTTTTTTTCTTCAAATAAATTGTATTATTTGCACTGAGAATGTTAACATATTTCTAATTTAAGTCGAATGAAAAATTGTACAAACTTTTTTGAATTGGACACAAAAAAGTTGCTAGAAATAAGCTTCTGTCGTTGCGCAAATAATCAAATTAATGAATGTTTTAAATGTTTTATTTTCGTTTATTTAAATATTTGATTTTGAAATTGCTAAGGCTCAGGCAATGCTTGCTTTGCTGTATTAACTATGCAGTGAAAAGCAGAAACTTATCTGTGTATCAATAATAATATCTTGCAATAAACATTTGAAATGCGTTCAGATATTGTGCCTTACAACTTTACATGCTATGGCAGTTTACTTGTTGGGAGTTCCTTTTGTTCTTTATCAAGTATTTATTATTTATGGACCAAAGTGTCGATAAAATGTATTTGCTTTGTGTCATGCTTTGTCAGTGAAGCGTTTATTTAAACTAAGCACATTTACTTACAGTAAGTGAAAAAATGCTGAAATTTCAAGTGCTTCGATTATCCTTGCCTAATTCAATTTTAAGACTCGCATTTTTTAATTCATTGTTTCTGCTTTTCGGTGCATTTTGTTGTTGTTTTTGTTGTTGTTGTTGTATCCGTTCTTCATAATTTATTTTGTTGTACATATACAAATATATATGTGTTTGTATATATAGATATATAAACAGTTTTACGTACATAAAAATATCTAATTATTTGTATAAAAAACTAATACAATGTTGCATGTATACATATCTATTTTTTATTTATTTATATGTATGTGTGTGTGTGAAATCGATTGCATTTATAGAGGAAAAAAACATATCAAACAATATAATCATAATCATAATTATTATTAAACATAAAACATCATACAAAGCATTAAATTCCAACACACACACACACACACAAGCGCATGCAAAGAATATCAAAATGTTTTCTTGTTTTGTTTTTTATTGCGTTTTTATAAAAATATTGCATATATGTATACAAATTGTATGTATGTATGAGTGTGTGTATATATGTGTGTGTGTGTGTGTGTGTGTGTGTGTGTGTGTTCATGTTTATCGAATAAATTAGCACAAATTTGACCAAAAACAAAATTACATTTTTCAACTAATGCGTAGTTTATCCTGCATGTGGGTTTATAATTTTTCAACTGTGAAATTGTTTTGTTTTGTTTTGTTTACTATGTAATGTATTTACGTAGTATATTTAAGCGCTTAGAGAACTATTAGATTTGCATTTTGTATATAGAAGGGCGATCGATTTAGCTTGATTTTCAATTGTATCTTATCTGGTTGCACATTTGCTTATTTTGTTTTTGTTTTTTGTTGTATATACTTGATTTAGACTCTATATATGATGATATATATGAATTTATTTATGCTTTTCTGTCCCAACTTGAATCAAGTTTAGCTGCTCATTTGTTGCCGTTTAATGCCTCTCTCAAATATTGTATTTTTATTATTTGTTGCTGCTTTGTTTTCGTCGTTTTCCATCATCATCATCATCATCACCATAATCATCATCATTATTATCATCTTCGTTTTGCTCTCTATTCGTTCCCGCCCGCCTGCTGCCAGCTCTGTGCACTGCACTGCTTTGCTCTCCTCCGCACTGCACTGCACTGCACTGCTCTCCTCTGCACTGCATTGCACTGCTCTCTTCTGCTCTCCTCTGCTCTCTTTTCTGGTGGTTGTGGATTGTTAGATTGTTAGAATTTAGGCTTCGGTCTTCTTCTTCTCCTTCTTCTTCTTCAAGAACGATGGTGTGCGCAGGCCCTTCTTCTTCTTCTTGTCTTTCTTGGGTGAACCGTCCGTGGATACATCCTGGAACCGTAATAGAAATTTGCAATGAGAATATCGTTTGCACTTGGATCGCTTAATTATACAAAAACAGGCAGAAGAAACCATCTGCGACTCAATCAAGCATATATATGCCCGATCAGGATCAACAAACGTGTTGTATACCCTTCCAAACTTGGAAGGTGAATTTCTAAGAATGCCCTCCAATATTTTTTTTGGGCCACGCCAGTTACCAAATTTGGATGGACCACATCCCCATTTTTTTTTCGACCACATCCTCAAAATCCACAAAAGCCAATATCTATCGCATTTTGATAGGCTAACTGCGGTAAGAAATGAGAGCTACTTGCCACCAGCTTATGTTTATTTAAAAGAAAACTTGGCAAATAAAAGTAGAGATCTATGGGTATCAGGGTATCTCGTAGCGGACCTCACTCGAATATGGCACTCTTACTTACCTCTTTACTGCTCTGTGAGAAGGTGCTCAGATGCGCCTCCGAATGATCGCCATTTTGTACGTTTTCACCTGTGGGTTGGCCATAGAAAGTATTCAAATTAATAATGTTGTAGGACTACTCATATACATTGATAGATAGATCATGTAACTCAAGGGACGCGCACAAAATCATAGATGTTCATATGTATTAGCCTACCCCCTACCGACCATGATTAGAGGACGCACACACGAAAAGATTTATGTTATATATAACCGAAAACATGTAGGATATATGAGTATATGTTTGTATATATGTATGTATGTATCTACGTTTGTATGTAAATGGTTTTTAAGCTAAACAAACACAAGCATGCAAGTATTAATAAAAAAAAAGGCATCAACTAATTACTACCAAGGCGCCATGCTTTAAAGTTTAAACACAAAACACATAAATATGATAAAGTGCCAAAAAAATTGTTACCTGTGTTTCGATTTCTTAACTTACATGTTGAGGGAATTATATATATTCTATATATATATATATATTGTGTAAATGAACAACATTTATTATAACATAGATAAACTTAATGAACCGACGCATCTTAATTATAAAAAATATGTGTAATTTTGTATGATAAAAATAAGCAATGATAACAGAAAAAGCACAATTCATGAAAAAAGAATTATTTAACAAAAAAATAATAATAATAATAATAATAATAAACAATACGGCCAAGTCGAGGTGCTGTAGGTTTTCTGACAATAGTTGAGAGATTAAAAGCTATAAGTCAAATGAAACGCGTGGGCAAACAATCCCAATGTCTACTTGGCTCTGGTTGGCTTGATAACGCTCGACTTGATATCGTCGCGCATCTGGGAGATACGCGTGCGGCAATCATAGATAATGGCACGATTGTGCAACTCGTGGGCTCGTATAATGCTGTTCAACAGTTGCTGCAACTCCGTTTCCAGGTTGCGTAGCAAACGCTGCAGTGCCTCCGCCTCGGTGCAGCTGTGGGTTGAGTCTCCGGACGTCAACTGGGACTGGGATTGGGACGGCAGCTGGGAGTCTGCAATTGCCACATAGCTATAGGTGTGGCACAGTGCCGGCGCCGAGTTGGAACGTTGCAACAGCAGCGACGACGAGGGTGTTGGCGAGGCAAGTGGGGCACGTGGCACGTGTTGTTGCTGCTGCTGGTGCTGGTGGTGTTCCGATAGAAGCTGCGTGGTGCGCTGCTGCATGGCCAGCTGCTGGGATATATAGTGTATCTCATCATCGATGACCTTCTCCAGCTTGGAGCGGAACTCCTGCTCATGTGCCTGCACCGTCTGCACACACTCCGTGTTCCGCAACGACACATTTATGAGTATCTCAATGGAGGAGGAGGTGGTCTTCTTCAGCTGCGACTCCGCCTCCGGTGAGCTGCTCAACGTGAGTCGAATATGCTTGCCCTGACTGTAGGCCTCCGCTTCCTGTGTTGTTGAGCCAGAGCAGGAGTCACGACGCTTGCTGCTACTCTTCTTCTTGTTACTGTTGTTGTTGTGGTTGTTGTTGATGGAGTTTTTGTTGCTGCCACTACCACTACCACCACCCAAACCACTGTCATCGCCATTCTGATACATTGCCTGCTCGGCCTCGGGCTTGTCACCGCCATCCTTGGGCAGCGCATGATTGCTGGGCAAAAAACTGCGCAGCGTATAATTGCTGGGATAAAGACTGTCATCGTCACGATCACAATTGGCATGGGTAATATTGAGCATGGAGTTAAATTGAGCCGTCAGCTCATCTAGCGAATCGTCGGCGCTCTGCGGACTGGTGCTGCTCCGTCTGCTGCAGCTGCTGCTCCTCGTTGTTGTTGTTGTTGCCGCACTATTGTTACGCTGCTTGCGGGATGGACTTGGTTGCAACTGGATTTGCATCTCCGAGACATAAGATGGCGATGGCGATGATGATGCATCCTCCTGCGCCGTCGGATTATTTTGCTTACCACTCGTCGCACTCGCACTGAGCACATCGAGCATTTTACGTTTGGCAAAGCTCAGATTGGTCAGATCAATAAAGGAGACGACCTTCTCCCGCTGCTCGGCCACCGTCTGCCAAATGCTCCGATTAGCGGGATGCAAGAGTATATTTGGCTCATTTGTCAGCGGACAATTGAAGCCATAATGCGAAAAGGTGCGAAATGGTGCAGCTGATGTTGATGATGATGTATTTAAGGCATTACTGCTGCAGCTGCTGTTGCTGTTGTTGTTGTTGTTGTTGACAGCAGTTGGCTGATAGATAATAGCTGAATGCACCGCGGATCGCATGGGTGTGCTGTGTTGTGCCACATGTGCCACAAAGCTATCCTCGCTGTTGGGGTTGGTGGTGTTTGCATTGAGCAACGGATAGTTGTGCTTATATGTGGCATCAATTTTATGTATTACATGCACCTGAATGCAGTGAAAGGTCTCAATGCAATGACTTGTTGTTGCATAGAGGAAAGCATATTTATTTGACAAATACGCCAGCATAGCTGAGATAAGAGAAGGGGGCATAGGTGAGTGTGTGTGTGTGTGTAGGTATGTGTGTAGGTATGTGTGTAGGTGTGTTTGTGGTGTGTGTGTTAAACACATCACAGTTTTTGTGTATAAGTCCGACTTACATGTAACAATTCACAATCAAAAATTGGGGGAAACTTAAAGAGTAACAGTGACATTAACAGCGACAGCGACAGCCACTGTTAACATCTAACATTTAACATGAACATCTGTTGTTTAAGCTTACAAATTAGGCCCGACAGTTATTTAACATTCAAGGATAATTGCCTAAAATTAAACATTTCTATTTAGTGCAAAGTAAATTCAAATCATTATATATTTCACCATACAAATCACCCTTATTATTAAGTAAATAATACAGTTTTTATTATTAATACGTATACAATTCACCATTAATTTTATGTAAATACTCAAGTTATATTTGTTGAGATCTATCAATACAAATCAAAACCAGTATTTTCAAGCTAAATCTATTCAAATATATGTTGTTAGTATATGCGAAAATAAATGTGTATGAGTGCAATTGGAAAACATGCTGATTATAAAGATTACAAAAATAAGTGTTGTGTAATGTAATAAGATAAAGGGAAACTTGTAGTAAACGACTTGAAATGTGCTGACTTGGCAAAGTGGAATTGGCAAAAAATAAAAAATAAAATATAAATTATTTTAAAATTCATTGAAAAAGTTTGAAAATAAAATGTAAAAGCGTCACTTTGTTTTGAAAACTTGTCGAAAATCGTATGTGAAAAGTAGTTGCTATTTAGATTCATGTGGAAGACTGCTGCTCGTCTCCGTCTTGGGGTGCAAGAGCAACAGCTGATGGACGCATATCTGTGGCGTCTCCTTCAATCTCAACTTGCTGGTTGCTGATTGCCCATGCTTGGTTTACTTCATTAAAAATCTCCACAATGAAGGGTTGTGTCCCGTCGAACTCGCTTTCGTAAATTAAGTTCGGCGGCGCCGTTTCATCGTAATTACGCAGCCATTCATCCTCTTCTTGCATTGCCTCGGCAAACATTTCAACCATTTCGGGTGTTATGAAATCATCAACGTTGAATGGCACCATTTCCATTTCGATTTCCCCATCGGGTATGGTCCAGTCATCGTCGTCGATAATCGGACAGTGTCGAGTCGATATTTCACAGCGAGGCACGGGTATCTCCTTGTCCAAGGATTCGTCGGTGATGTGCAGAGTGCCACTGGTCAGCGTACACAGTGTTGTCAATTCAATCGTTTCGCTATCCTTGTCGTAACTGTCTTTTGCGTCTTCCTTATCATCGTTTTTACGCCTCTTCTGTATTTTAGCTGCCGCCATCGATGTGCTTGGCTTGTCATCCTCCTCATCCGCATCCGCAACCTCATTCGCATCCTCATTGTTAACCTCAATGATGCCTTTAGTCTTGGGATATTTTCTGCATATTTTGGGTGAACCGTCCCCATCCGATGAACTGTCGGCGCTGTCGTAATACAGTTGATAAGCCCATTTATTCTTCTGAGTGTCGAGATTGAAGGTGCCACGCACCGAGCTCAGCGGATAGGCAGATGAGTGGACATCTAAGAGACTGGCCACCGCTTCCTCCTCCTCCCCCAACTCTTCTTCATCGTATTCAAATTCTTCAGTTGGCATTTTCAAATCTGATTCGTTGACTTCTTGAGTATCCATTTGTTCAGATGACTCAACACTTGCGGCGGACTGTCCATTAGGAGTTTCTGCACCAGCCTTGTTTCCATTCACCACTTGCTCGTCGTCTGCTGATGAGATCCCATTCTGTGATCGCTTCGCATCAAGCATATCATTGGAATTTGTCTCCATATCACCAGTAGTTTCGGTCCTGTTTGGTTCATAGGTATTGCCGGAGTAAGCCTCAGCTTGCAACAACTGATGATCAGCAGCTTCATTAGCTTCATTCTCATCATCCGACATATACAGATCCATTTGCTGTTCCATTGACTGTTCGCTGTCGCTTACATCCATTGACTGAGCACCTTGGGATTCCTTCAACTGCTCCTCCGGCAAAAAATTCAAGTTAAAAGTGTTGCTGGAATAGGTTCGTTGCATCAACTGTGGCGATGCGGCGACATCCGTGAAGAAAGTGCTACTCGAAGTCGTCCGATTCAGTGCAGAGCGTAAGCCCCGACGCAATTTGGGTGGGTGCACCATGCCGCCCATTGGTTTGAACCGTTTGGCAAAGGAAGAGCAGGGAGTTTGGGGTGAACGACTTGGACTGATCGCTGATCCGCGATTTTGTCCGGCGAAGGAACGTGGCGTCGTTGGCATCGAGACCCACAGACGAGCGCTGCTGCTGCGCTGCTCCGCATGGAATGTGCACACGGAGGAGTCATCGCTGGTGGCGTTGTTGTTGTCCGTCTCCATCTGCATCTGAATTTGCACAGATCGCTTCTTGCGTGAGCTAAACGTCGATTTTGAGATGGAGGAACGCGGCTTGCTGGCATTGCGTATGTTCTCTTTAATAAAGTTGCGCTTCTTGCGCGGACAACCGCCGCTCACAACAAATGTGGACGAGGAAATGGCGCTCTCTAATTGGGAATCATCTGGACTGCTGTCCAGAGAGCGCGACATACGCGACTTGTGGCGAGTAATGAGACGAGTGTGTGCCGACGAGGGGATCGAGGTTGCGTCTGTATCCATTCTGGAGCGAGCGCTTGGATGCGGATCGCTGCCGAACTGAAATAGATGCGGTATCCGGACTGATCCGGGAGTCTTCACAATGTGCGTGCATGTCACAAAAGTCTCCTCGACATCGCAGACAATGCTCTGAAGTGCGCTTGGCGGCAGCTTGTTGCGTATGCTCTGATCGATTTTGCCAAAGATCGATTCGCGCTCCTTGAGCTTGTCGGCCTCGATGGACTCGAGGATCTCGCGTTCGAGGGGAGAGAAATGCGAGCTACATTCGGCGGTCTGGGTCTCTTCGAGTCCCTCTCGGGCATCCTCGTCAACGTTCATTTCATGCTCATCGATGTCCTTTTCATCACTGGGACTGGCTTCAACAGCATCTTTGAGTTTATTTGCATTGGGCAGAGGCGTCACTGGCTTCTCATCGTCGCGCTTCTCCTCGTGATCGATCTCTGCTTGCGGTTCGCCATTCTCCTCCTCATCGTTACTAAATTCGCTCAGATTAAAGCGTTGTGGCTCCGAAACGGATGCGGCATCATCAGCATCGGGTATATTCTCCAAGTCGATGGCGCGAAACAATGAACCGTTCTCCTCCACAGATGCATCCAATGCGAACGACTCCTCTACGCTCTTTTTATTCTCGGCCGTTTGTAGGATTTTTGTGGTGGCCACCAGTTGCTCAAGAGTCTCACCCACAACGCTCAGACTCAGCTCAAACTTTTTCAACATTTTCTGTAACTCCGCGAAGGCTTGGACCATTTTATCATCCACTGCTTGCTGCATTTGAGCATCTTCCTCCTGCTCTGGTTGTCGTCGACAATCGTAGATCCTTAGAGCATGCGCCTCCTGCGCATCCAGCGACATTGTCACCGTATGCTTCACAGTTGCTGGCGCCTCCTGTTCCATTTGCTCCTTGGCACCAAAGTAGTGCACATGATCCTGCCAGAGCTCTTCGAACTCTAACTTGCGGCGTTGACGCTCATCGCGCGACATTAACTGACGTTCCTCCTCCACCGCCATGTTCATCTCGCCCTGCCTCTGCTCCTGCAGCTGCAGAGAGTTGTTGGCATCTGGTTCAACGCTCTGCTCTGCAAATTGTAATTGGGTAATCTCGAGCGTAATGCATCGCTCAACAAGCGGATTCGGTTGCTGCTGTGCCTGCTCCTGCCAGTTGCCAAAGTTCCACACCTCTGTAATGTCCGTCCGGTATCTATCCGAATCCGGTCGCGGTAGTTGCGGTGTTTTCATTGGTTGCGCACTGGTCGCACTGGCCCCAGGACTCGTTGGCGTCTCGAAATCAGATAAACTAAAGTAACTAGTTACGGCTTGGTGTCCCGGCACATAGTTGCCATTGGTGGACTCCTCCGCGTAGTTGAGACCTTCGATTTGATTAAGAAAGTTGGCAACGGGCAAGGATCGGGTCGTTTGGGTGCTCACATTGCAAAGAACCGAGTTGGTCAAGGTGCGCTCGTCCTCCTTCTCTGCCTCCTCCTCCTCTTCCTCCTTCTCTGCCTCCTCCTCCTCCTTTCCATTCAGTTTAAGGGAGGGAACTGAGCTGCTGCAACTGATCAGATCCTCGGGCTCATCCTCGGCACTGCGGCGCCGCAGTTCAGGCTTGAGTCGCAGCAGCTGCTCAAAGCAATAATGACAAAGGTGCTCATAGCGCGGCGTCGCAAAGATCTCCTCATAGCTGAGGGCACGCTGCACGCTGGGACGATAGCGAATGCACTCGGCGCCACCCGGCAGATGCTTGTGCTCGGTGGGCACTGGGAGTCGCGGTGAATTGAATCCAAAGTGCGACAGTGTGCGGTAAGGCAGCAGAAGTGAGGAAGTCGAAGTAGGAGTCCGAGTTGGAATCGGATTCATCGACTGTCCATTGGCCAAGTGGAGGGGACGACGACGTGGCGATGACGAATCATTGGTGGTGCTAACTATGCTGGATGTGGCCGTGTTGGAACGTGTTATGCCGGCATCTCCATAATTAAGCATATTGTGGTGCGGCGAGTGGAGAGCATGAAGGAGCACCGAACAAATCTGCGGCTGACAGCAGCGACCCAATGATCCAGCAGCAGACGAATAAAAATGCCCCCCACCTGGTAAACACTGTGCCAAGTCAGCAACATCGGAGACGGGAGGTGAGGACAAGATTTCGGGACGGGGACTGGGACTGGGACAATAAACTGATATCGAATTGAATTGTTTGGTAAATGCAGCTCGCAAATCGCGACGACACTTGCTAGTCGAGTTGGAGGCTGGAACAACACCCGGCTGACAGCACTGATTCTGGTTCTCCTTGTCCAGCTCATCATAGATTGTATTATTGTTGCTGTTTCGCTTCGACATCTGGACGCTATCTGCTCTAGTTGTTGCTTGAACTTGCATTTCTTTTGTGGCTGGCCAAGGGGAGTGTGAAGAGAGAAGTCAAAAGGAGTGGCATTTATCAGTAAGGTTGGCTACTACTCACTACGCTGACAATCGAGACTTACACTGAACTCAACTCAACTCAAGCCTAAGGCCAGCAAATTGGAGTAAACAATTGAAACAATTGAGAATTTCATTAAATTTGCCACACAATTGCGGCACTTACGACTTGCAACACGTTGATTTATATGAGATACGTACGAGTATTAAATACCTACATGTATATAACAATATATAATGTATATACCTAAATCGGAAAGATCCGCCTAAATGCGAAAGATAAATGTAAAATATTCAGATCATATACATATATCTAGTGTGTCATTTGATGAATTCAATAACCAAGTTTCCCGATCCAATAATCTAAAATGAGCTAATTATGAATATTTCGCAAATGGGGTGTTTTTATAACAATTTTTTTTTTAACTAGGTTAGGTTGAGGTGCATATGTGTAAATGTAAAATAAAAGTGATTTTGCTAGTTATCAATACATCAATGACAAAGGGGAATGGTTATACAACATATATGTAAGTATGTGTATATACAAAATGCAGCATTATGTTGTGCTATCATCCCAGGGTATAATTGAGGTACAATTGTATAAGTTGTATACGTTGTATAATTAAGGGTTAGCTATTTATGTATACAACAACAAAAGGGACTTTTGTTCGTTTACCTCGGCCAGTTGGTGGCTTGCGATTTGTTGCTGTATGAGAGCGTTCGCCGTTTATAAAACTAAGTGTTGCTAAAATAAGTATTGAAGAAATAAAGGTACATAAAAAATTCGCATGTTTTGTTGAATGCTTTTGATGTTACGTGTTGGCGCATCGCATCAAATAAACCTTGGAAAAATAAATTGCATTAAAGACGTAAACTTAAAATAAAGATGTGTGTGTGTTATGTTTGAAATATTCATACGAATAGCATACAAAAATTGTATCGAGTAGCAGATATTTTGTATATTAGCAGTAAAATGTTAGCAAAGTATCGATACTTAATGATGCAATGTGTCAGTGTTAGAAAATAATGTTAGCGGCGCTCATAGGAAAATCGAAATATAAACGGAAAAAGCAATTAAAAGATAACAGCTGCAGTTGTTCAAAAAAAAAAATAAAAACTAAATAACTATTATATGTGCACAAAAAGCCACTTAAATGAAGAAAGCTAGCAGAACGCGTTGATTTATGTTAAAAACAATGGGCAAATATAGAGCTAAGCTAATTGAATGCAGAATGATATTTGATAGCCTGATTCCACAACATTCTCAACATTTCGTACATTCTTCTTTTCTATGTATGCTAGATGACCTATACATTCGTAAAGTATGTGGCAAATGTTAGAAATTTGATCCAAGTATTTCTTTTTTTTAAGCAAGCGCTTCTTTAATTTAATTTTTTTTTATAATTTAAATATGTCTATCGCTTTAAGACTTTCAAGCTCCACAGAGACTGTGAATATCATATTCAAAATATTCAGGAACATGAAAATATAATATAATATATATTAAAAATAATATAGCGAAAGAAATGAGTGAAAATAAAAATAGATCATCAAACCACAAACAATTTTTAAATAAGGTTGAAATCAAAATCGATTTCAATTGGGTTTTTAATTTGAATTTTACGGAGCATAAAAAATAATATAATAAATATTATAGCGAAAGACACATTTGAAAATAAAAAGAACAAAAATGGTTTATCAACTATTAAAATTTAATGCTCAAGTCGAAATCCTTTTCAATTTTTAATTTTAAGTCAATGCTAAGAAATGTTGGGCCGAAGTGGAATCGAGCTTTAAAATGTTATACACTATTAGTTTGCGTAAGATGTCATGAGAATATGCATACTATAACTATTTCAATTTCGATCACTTGTCTAAAAACTATGCGAGAGTATTATTGTTTTTTTGTGTATTTTTTTGTTACTACACACTAAACTTTCGGGCTGCACTCACCTCTAATATAAAATGTTTTGTACTAAACTGCACTTTTAATTTGTTTTTGTTTGAGAGTGTAGTAGTTGTTATGTAAGAGGGCAGCAGCAGACACAGTTACACAGTTTTTGTGGGTTTGTTTTGGTAGTAGAAAATTTAGTAGTAGTAGTAGTAGTTGTAGTTGTTGTTGTTGCTGTTTTCGCTGTTTGTTGTTGTGTTTTTGTTACCCTACACACAGTCTAAAAGTTGTTATATCTACATAGTTACAGTTATATTTTAGCTGCCAATTTATTTGTGCTTGTGTTTGGCTAGGGGAAGTTTCAAAGTATAAATATATATAAAAAAAGATTATAGGATAGACAAAGTTACAAATTTTGTTTAACAATATGTCCAATTATTGTTTAAAGTGCGCACAATAAATCAAATACAAATACTAAATACAAAGACCAAAACTGCAGCTGTAGAGAAAAAAATGGGGTGTAAAAATAAACCCCATTTTGCAACTAGAAGTATTTCTTGTTGTAGTTGTAGTTGTTGTTGTGGTTGTGGTAAATTAATTGCTGTTTTCTTTAGTTTAGGCTGATTTGTAAATAAAAATCACTTAATACACGCCGTACAACAGGTGACTCCTTAAATGGTAGACAGAATAGTTGTAGTAGCAGATAGACAGTGTTGTATTTGCACAGTATGTGTGTGTTGTAGTGTTGGAAATTGGTAAATTGGTAAATTGTGCAACAGAAGAATATTGTTGTAGTAAGAGTTGGATTTTAACGGTAATACACTTCTTTTTATTACAGGAAGGAGGTCGAAACTGTATCAAGGGCTACGAGTAGTTTTTTGTTGACTTTTGATTATAATTAATAGTTATGTATTGGTTTGCGTGTGTGTGTGTATTTGTTGAAGTAGAGCCAAAAATAAAAGGAAAATAGCATAAGTAAATTTGAAGGTTAGGTCTCAAATAAGTATCGAAATAAGTACAGTTGATTAATTTTAAATCATATGGTTAGATATTTATCTACTTTTTAAAAATATAATTATAATTTATGATATTAATAACTAGACTAGACGTAGTAAAAAATAAAATGTTTGAAAAGAAATCACAAAATAACAAAACGAAATGCAAAATAACTATAACAAAATGAAGAACTTGAACAAATTTCGTATCACAAATCGAAGGATATTTGATTTAGATGTAATGGAGAAGGACATAACTAGGTACGTGTGTGTGTGTGTGTAAATATATATATAATCTTTTAAATATTGCTTGCAGACATAAAAACAATGGGAAAGAAAGGTGAATGGAGTTGTTGGACTTACCATCACTCAGCACAACCTCAGCCTGGCTGGGAATGGGCGCCTGCTGTGTTTGGATCTGTATGACTTGGTGTTCTGCAATGTCAAAGGTTGAACTTATTAAACATACAGTTTCCATGGATGTCTTGTCTCGTTGTGATCTTACCCGTTTCTGGCTCACTCTGTGCGTGTTTTGCATGTGCATGTGCACCCGCCGCCTGCATCGAGTTGAGTGCCTCCGATTCCGAAAAGTCTGTATCGGTATCTATTCACAAAAATCACAGAGACAATTGGTTAAGTATTTGTATTTGCTAAATACAAATTGAATTTTAGTTTGCTTACATTCGCCATGAATGCTCTTCTTTTTGCGCTCCACGGTGCGTTTATATTCGTTGAGCTCATCGTCTGTCACATTGTCGAAGGGATTCTTGGCATAGGGCGCCTTGTAGACAGTCGCATTGTGTTGGAAGCCGCGCTGTATGATGCCCTTGGAGGCAGCACCCATTAGCACAACATGATCACCGGTTTGGGAGACGGTTGCATCTTTGATGCGATTTGCCTCATCCCAGGTGACGCCCTCCAGTATATGCGATTGTGGTCCAGCTGAAATGACATCCGCACGACGATTGTCCTTGATCTGTAATTGTCCATAATAAATCGAAATTAAAATTTGATTTCAAGATTTGGAATTTGATGATTTCAAGTACTGACTTGCTGTTGCAGCCGCTTAAACTCCTTGGTTGTGGTTCCAACTGGCACAAATTGCAATGGATCCTCGATCCGCACCGGCGTTGAGTGGGTGGGCGAACCTTCGGCTACCCACTTTATATGGTTTTGGATTTTTCATTTTGTTCATTTTGTTTTTCATTTTGTTAAAGGGGGCAAGCAATTGATAGAAAGAAAGAGAAAGAAATTTGTTTTTATTTAGATTTCAATGTTTTCAAATTGCAAAAAGTGCTTAAGTCGAACAGCTTTGTTCTTAAATAGTCTACAATGTTAAATGTTCGCTTTATATTATTAACAATATTTAAGATAGCATTTATTTGTTAAACATAGATTTTGAATACCTAATCCTGGCTATATTTGTACACAACTGCAGGCAAATGTTAATTGAATGTTTAATGTTTTAAATGCAAATGATGTGTATAATAAATGAAATATATAACAAGCATAAATGACTTTGTGCCTTAACCAAAATATTAATAAATATTCGGGACAACTAAAAACATGCAAAGAAAAAGAATTTTGTGTCTGTTCACAAAAAAAATATATATACATTAATTAAATGAATGTGAAAACAAAAACAAATTAAAAACATGCCGTGTGTTCGATGAGTACTAATTAATTTATACAATCAAAATTATTTGTATTTAGCATTAATGCTAGCATTTAATATTTGGTAACAAATGTCTTTCTCTTTCTTTGCATTTTGTTTTTATATATTTTTGTAAGGAAAATCATAATTGGAAATTCCCTAAAAAGGCACAAAATCATCTAAGCGATTTGGTTTCATATATGTTTGTATATTTATTTGATTAATGCACAATTACAATTTATAAAGCATATTATATTATTTTGATTTAGCATTAGTGTCATTATGTTATTTTGTGGCGAATTTTTGCTGCTGCATTTGGGTTACAAATAATCTCCATCAATATAAAATGTTTAAGTTTGCAGTTTCTTTTTTTTTACTTTTAAAACTTAAATGTTGAATATTTAATTTGAAAGCAAGTTGAAAGTTGAAGCAGAGGCAATAGAAACTAGTAAAAAGAGAGCTGCAATTATTATTTCTATGGATGGCTGCTTGGAATGTTTCTGCGGGTGGGGATTGTTTAAAAGAATTTCCCTATTTGTATATATATATTAGGATAAACATCGGGTTTTCAATCAGTTAATGCGTTAATTGCCAACTATTTGCCCTCGATTTCCTTGAGGCTAACAACTTTTTGTGTTTGCTGCTGTTGTTGCTGTTGTGTCGTTATTTTATCTTCAAATGTTATGATCTCTACCTTTGTGATTTTCTTGGGATCTGGTGTGCCAGTCTCCAGTACCTCGACCTTCTGATAGACATTGGGCGAGTTCAGCCAGCGACTGCGATCGCCACCCTTCCGTATATCACCCTTCTTCCAGATGCTGCATAATGTATGGAATGGATGGAGATTAGGTGATTACATTAGGTATTGCTATTAAAAAAACAAAGGTGAATCATGCATACCCTTGTCTGAAGAGCTCCTCCTCTTCGAGCAGGTAGCCCAGCGAGGAGACAGCCGGTGGCAGTTCCACATCATTCTTCGGCTTTGGCGGATCCGATTTGATCAGTGGATGGCGGTAGATGTAGCCAGTGCGATACCCAGCATTGTCCAGCATACGCATCAGTGCCTCGAATTCGGCACCACCCACACGCCACTTGGGCGGGCTGCCGATCTTGGGCGCTGCTGGTGCATCTTCTTTGCTAGCGGCAGCAGCGCCATCCTCCTCGGTGGCAACGGCTGCGAATTTCTTTTCCAAATCTTCGGGCGGACGACGGGATTGCTCGTAGATCAGCTTGCGCGATTCATCTGGTATGACCACCAGATTATCGATGCCGACGGGCAGTAGCTTCAGTTGGGTCTCGCACGCCTGCACGATGTGGCAGGCGGCAAAGAAAGCCTCCTCGATGGTCTCGCCACAGCACAGAGCGCCATGGTTGGACAACAGCATCACCTTGGAATTGGGTCCCAGATTGCGTACGAGGCGATTGCGCTCCTCCTCATCAAAGAGGCCGGTGTAGGCGTGTGTGCTAATCTCGCCGAGCACGCAGGCATCCTTGGTGAGCGCCAGCAGACCGGACTTCACCGAGGAGATCGCCACCACGGGACTGCAGCCAATGTAGATGGCGCAACGGATGTCGGGACGGGCGGCATGCACCACCGAATGCAACACAAAGTCTGTAAGAGAAAGTGAAACATGAATAAGATGATGTCCAGTCGTAGTTTGTTTGCCAGCCAGTTAATACTTACGGCTCTTGTTCACCCCAAAATTGGTGGTGCCCTGCTCGACAATCTGGCCCTGCATGTCGACTTTGTTGAGGGACGAGGCAGTCACCTCGTGATACAGCAGTCCATATGGATTCACCAAAAAGTACTCTTGATCGACCTTGAGGCGGGCCGTGATCTGTGCACCCAGACCCTGGGTCCAGCCGTACAGATCGAGCAGCCGGAATGTGGCAGCCAGTTTGCATCTGAGTATCTTCTCGCCCTTGGCATATCCCATCGATTCCACGCCGCGTATATCATTGATGGGCACCATGCAGCTGCTGCTCTTGAATACGTTGCTCACGCGTGACACGGGCACGCCCACAATATCGGATAGCTGCTGCAATATGCCACTGGCACCAGCGCCACCCTCGCGTGCCGAGTCTACAATGCGTTCGAGTTCCTCGCGAAACAGTTTCGAGCCCATAATCGCCTCCACACGTTTGCGTCGCTCCATTTCACGCATGTCCTGCAAGTAAATTCATTTAATTATATTGACTATATCTATATATATATATATATATATATATATATGTGTGTTTCTATATACCTGTTCAATGTCCGCGGGACGCGCTTTATTGTTGTCATCATCCTCGCCCGCGGTGGGATCTATGCCGTTCTGTGGCGGTTGCTCTACCTCAGTCATGTTTCTTCTTAGTTTGCTTTATTATAATTTACTTGAAATGCTAAAAATAGACGCAAGCAAGCATACACAAAAATAAACAATTTAAATAAGTATCAAATTTATAATGCTTGTAAATGTATTTTCAAATTTCTTTTGCTTTCGTTGGGCTCAGCTGAAAATTATCAACTGACCTTAAAAAGTGCAAGCCAAAAACCATTTCTGGTTTACAGTTGTGGAAAAAGGGGGTGGCAAAATCGAGAGAGGCCGAGAGAGAAAGAGAGAGAGAGAATGACAGAAAGCACTTGTGTGACGACGCCTGCATAAAAGTGCAAGGCGAGGCGCAAAATTCAACCACCCAAAAACATAGCGAGAGCGAGAAAGAGATAACTATGCAAAGAGAGTGCAAAGCTTGAGAGAGAGAGCAGCAACGGGGCAATATGTATGTATTTATGCATGTGTGTGTTTGCATGCGTTGTGAATGGCAAAAAGAAAACGAAAACAGCAAAAAGCACAGCAGCTAAAGTTCTGAGAGCCGGTCCATTTCCTTCTTTTCCTTTTCTTTTTATTATTTGTACATACATAAATATATGTATATAAGTGTATGTATATTTGGTAAACTCAACAAATTCCAATTCTAATTTTGGTAAAATATGTGTGCTTTGACAGTTGGAAGGGAAAATATACATAATATGTATGTTGGCTTTTATTTATTTATATTTTCTTTTTTGGGTGTGGAGTGTGAAAATAAAAATGGAAAAAAGACTATTTTAAGATTTCTTGCTTTGATTTTGTTGGCTTTAACGAATTTCAAATTGGATGCCTGAAAGCAAAATGAAGAAAGTGGTGGACAAGCAGAAAACAAAAACAACGACAAGTAACTAAAACGACAGACAAACGCATCTCAAGCGTAAAGAGCAACGCAAGCAGCGGACGGACGGATATTGGGACAGACGGACTACAGGAGAGAGAGAGGGACGAGTGCAGCAGCCGCCACTTAAAACAAATAAACAAATAAAATGTAGAAGCAGAAAAAAATGCGCTGCTCGTTTAATTTTAGGCGTGGTGGTTTTGCTTCTTTTTTTTCTTTAATGCTATTAACCTTCAACAATTTGGATTGCGCTGCGCCTCTTTTATTTTTATCAATGTGCGTGCAAAATAATGCTTGCACATAAATCAAAATATTAAATGATACTACAAATCGCTACATAAATATTTATTTATGTCAGATTTTACAGTTATGCAGAAATTATAATCGATTTGCAAATATCTCCATACCAATCTACACAGATATTTAATACACCTACACAGCATACTTAGCCAAATGCCATATCTCAATTAAATGCACAGCTTCCACAACACTGGCACATAAATGCCAATTAAAAAAGAGGAAGCCGCAATCGAGGCATATTTTCTGCAACGCTGTCTGTTTCTGTTCTTAGCACAAAAGAAGAAAGTGCGCGCACCTCTAACGGCGGCGGCGGCTCTGCTTTGTAGTCAGCTTTATTGCATTGTTTAAAAAAGTATTACAGAAAAACAGAAAGAAAAAAACTAGCAGAAAAAAAGAAACCGGGCACATTGTTATCATGGGCTTGACAATTGACCATCGACGACATCCATCGAGCATGCAAATGTGCATACTTGAAGTGCATTTAAGCCGTCAGTTTTTGTTTCTTGTTTTGTTTTGTTTCGCTTTTGCATGTATGTGTGTGTGTGTGCTTTTTTTTGTTGCTGTCGCTGCTAATTATGACGTGCTTATGCCTGAGTGAACGCGTGCCGCACATTTTGAGCGACAGAAGGAGAAACAATAAATACAACAACAGCAAGCACAACAATCACAGAAAACAGAGCAAACAGAAAGCAGCAAAGCAAGCAGCAGCAAGCAGGCAAAAATGTGTGGCCAGGTAATTGAACTTTTGCTGTGTATGCGTCTCGCTCAGCTCATTTATAGTGCGTGGGCGACGACAACAATAACAAATACAGCAACAAGAGAACTTTGCCTGGAAATCAAAGAATAAATGTTGAAAATAAACGTTTCTCAAGTGCCCAGTCAGCCAGTCAGTCAGTCAGTGGGCGAGAGCGAGCAGCAATAAACTTAACGAGCCATCACAAGTACATCATGGGTGCGTAGGTGTTGTTTTTGTTGTTGCTTTTCCTGTTGCCTGTCTGCCAACAGTGTTGCCCTACAAAATTTGTATTTATGTGTAGGTGTGCGCTTGATTAACCCACCACAAAGCCCAAGTCCCTTTAAACTCAAGAACCATGCACTTTTTATGTTTGTTTTAATTGAAAATAATATACAAAATATGTAAATTAAAAATGTATATATGAAAAAGAAAAACAAGACAAAATTTCACATTTAAACTTTGTTCCACAGCGAGTAAAGAAAGTTTTAAACTTACTCAGTGCACTTAAAAAATATTTTAATTAAACTCTTCGGCACTTAAAAGATTGAGTATTTTAGTATGCAAATAAAGTGATTTAATTTTCTTAAATCAACAATCAGCATGCTTCAATGCAAACTGGGTAGCGAAGTATTAAAATCAAATCAAAATTTTAAATACCATTATTTCTTATCTCCGCTTGGCACACATGCCTCGGCTGAAGCACATTGTACATGGATAAAACTACGCAAATAGAATTGTGAAAATGTTAGCAATTTGAATATGGTAGATTTGTTATACCCCAAGCAAGTTGAGTGGTCGGAAATGGGTTAAGAAGGCGAAGCTGCTGCAGAGGCGTACAAATGCATTCTTTCTTTCCCAATCACCGCTCGCTCTTCAACGATAAACCAACCAAGAAAACAAGAGCTTGGTTTAATTGCAAGATTCTGATTATGGCAACACTGGTCGGGGTGTTGTACATATATAGCTAATAGTGTCCAGGTCATCAACATAATGAACGTTTGTTTGTTAGAGCCGCACACAGTTTGTTGACCTTCGCTGCATGTCTAATCGAATTTCAACAGCTCGAAAACAACAATAAGAAGAAGTAAAAACCGAATACACAAAACTAAATTAAGTTATCATATGATCCGATCCGACAAGGTGATGTAATATTATCGAGCGAGCGCTGCTGCGATGACAAATGTCGCTGCTGCTAATGCTGCTGTTGTTGCTATTGTTGTTGTTTGTTGCATGCCTCCGCTCCGTGTTCTGTGTTTGACCTTTTGTGCACGGCACGGAAACGACAATTAAATTTAGGCAAAGCTGACGCCAACGTTCGTTATCTGTATGTCTGCCTGTTGACATTATGCAATTATATCACTCACTTAAGCAAGAGAGACACGCCCCTTATTTTAATGAAGATTCGCTTTTTTGTGTTGGCGCAAATAAATGTTTGCCACAAACAAACCAACAAGTCAAGTGATGCAGACGTTTGTTAACTTGGATTTAAAGTTAAAGAATTAAAATATGCACATTTATTGCATGTTATGTTAATTCATTCAAGAAATGAATATGGTTATTGACTTGTCTTTAAAGTTATAGAATCAAACGATGCATTTTATTATTTTCCATTAATTTATTTGATGCTATATTCATTTATTTTATTTTATATTCAATAAATTTGTTCTATTATTATGCATATTATTTTAATTTATTGATTATACATATTATAAACAAGTCGCGAGATGCAGACTCTTGCTAACTTGGCTTTAAAGTTAAAGAATCAATTGATGTATTTTTTTTATGCATTTAGTTGTTAAATTTAACACTCATAAACACACTTGAAAGGCCTCCAATTAACATGAAAAGGGCGACACCCTCTATTTAATTTTCACACATTGCGCCAGCGTTAATTAAATTTCTCAAGTATTACCCCCATTCTCGTATCTTACGTAATAATAACAGCAAGCAATAAGGTCAACATCATCATCACCATATCTCTGTACATCATCAATGAATGAATGAGCAAATGGTTCCACATTCAGTTTTAATAATAATAATAATGCAACAAGTCCGTCACTCAGTCAGTCAGTGGCACAGACAACTGAAAGATCGTTCGGCTTTACTGGAGCAAATATATACATCTAGATATATATGTAGATGGAAGTACAATGACAAATGGGAACATATTTCTGAATGACGCCGAGTGCAATAAACTGTTCCGAGCTGAGAGCGTCAAGTGTAAATAACGATAGTTTGTAGTTGTAAATGCGGTTTTTTCTTTGTTTGCCAAAGATTGAGCAAAAACATGAAATATTGTGCATTATTCATTAATTTAGCTGGCTATGCAAATAAGACTGTGACTCGGATTTGGTTTGTTTGAAGGCAAGATTAGTTTAGAAACGCGTAACGAGTACTAATAAATGGCCATACATTGTTACTTTACAAATATATATATATATATAGTAGAGTGTTGTATAACGTTGACGCTGTAGTCCACTTAGGAAAACGTACAACGTAAAAATATATACAATTCGTTTTAATATGCGAAACATTGTCCAGCAAAAATTGCAGTTGTATTTTAACAAAGTTTGCAGTAGTTTGCTTCGCCAATATTAAAATAGCACTTTAATTTTTATGAAAAAACATAAAGGGTTTATCAACACACATGCATTTATTTTTAATAATTTTGCTTGGTTTTTAATATGATGATCAACCACAAGTAAAAATAGCAGACACGTTTTAATTTCTGGAGCCACAAGCAAAGAACCCAAAACTGAGAATGCGAAGAATGTTGTTTGTTTGCACAAAGAACGCTTTAGACTCGATTCTTTCACAAGCAGTCGTGGCCGAGTGGTTAAGGCGTCTGACTCGAAATCAGATTCCCTCTGGGAGCGTAGGTTCGAATCCTACCGGCTGCGAAAGTTTTTTCGTATTTTATTTAATACAAAATGAATCAAGCATAGATTTAATAATTATCAAACACTTATAAAAGGTGTACGGATTTAAAAATTGTTAGTATATGTTAAATAACAAACAACAGAATATGCTGTGCATCATAAACTAGATCATTTTGCTTAAATGTATTTTCTTTGACTTTATTCAAATGTATTTTATTTGACTTTATTAAAATGTACTTTATTTGACTCTATTCAAATGTATTTTACATAATTTTATT